GGGGCAAGAGGCGCCGTTATGCTCACCTGAAGCGATGACCATAGTGATCGTCTGGCAGACGACGATTTCCCGCTCCGTACAGCTTCTCCCGAGCTGTCAAGCCCAGCTGCTCATCCTCTCCAAAGCCCTTGGGCGCCTGATTGACAGCCGTCGAATTCGTCTTCTTGTTGCTGGGCCAATCCGAGGGTGCTGCGCCCGCTTCGGGATAGTCTGACCACATGTGACCTCGCTTTTGCAGCTCGGGCACTAGCAGCTGAACAGTGTCGAGGAAGGTGCCTGGCGAGATGGCGCTGTGAAAAGTGGAGGGGTGGGTGATGGACGTCAGTCAATGCGTTTGTCTCGCATTTGCTGCAAGGCACTCACTAGGCCAAGCTGGTCAAAGCAAAGGCAAGGTGACAGGTCCGGAAAGAATTAGCACAATGGAGCTAGCTATCGCAAGTCTTGGCTTGAAAATGAACTCACTTGAATCCGTCCACGCCAGCTTCGTTGACCCACTCCTCGAGCTTGTTCGCAACAGTGCTAGCGCTTCCCACAATGAATGGTCCCAATCCTCCAATCTTGAGCTGGTTGGCGACTTCGCTCTTGGTCCATTTGCCAACCGTGGGGTCCGCTCTAGCAAATCCCTCCACAGCAGACTTGATCGCATTGCCCTCAGGCAGATCGCGCAGCTCCTCGTCAGGGGCGTAGCTCGAGAGATCTATGCCCGTCCACCCTCCAAACAAGGCCAAAGCGCCCTCTTCAGATGCATTGTTCAAAAAGTCTCGATGCTTCGCCTCGGCTTCCTCGTCCGTTTTGCCGACCTGCAAGAGCGCAAAGTGGAGGCGCATAAGCTGCATATTCAGCGGCAGCACCTAATTTGGCAAGGTATTGCGAACTCACGATGGGCAGCAAGAGGGCAAGCACGCGAAGCTTCTTGGGGTCACGACCCGCCTCCGCAGCGGCCTTGCGAGCTCCATCGACTCGAGATTTGGCTACTTGGGGTGCGTGAGCAGCTATGAAGATCACTTCAGCGTGCTTCCCTGCAAATGCAAGACCAGGGCCGGAAGAACCCTAGACGATGACAAAATAACGTTTGGGATAAGATGCGAGCTCAGTGACTCGCGCATGGAATCAATGCTTGCCCGGTCTCTACTGACAGCTTGAAAAATGACGGGAGTGCGCTGCAAGCTTGGCTCGCAAATATGAGGGCCAGGTACCTCGTAGTACTGAACGGGCAAGCAAATGGACGACAAGACAGAGGGTTGTCAGTACGAGAAAGCACAAGACGACCTGCCTTCCTGCCCAGCATTTGAGCACTCACCTGGCCCTTGTGCTTGATGTCGCGGACTCTTTCTGGGTCCGCGTAGAGGGGTTTGCTAATGTCATGTTTGACAGCGTCGTCGGCCCAGGAGGATTCCCAAAGCTTGTACACGACCTGCGAGAGGTTTGCGCCAGTGAGTGGAACGCAAAAGCGGTGCATCTAGCGGGGTCATGCCCGACTCAGACTCACATCCATGTACTCGTGGGCGACTTCATATCGCTTGGCATGCAGTTCCTGGTTTCTAGCGCCGAATTGACGAGCAGCAGAGTCCAGATAGCCTGTGACCACGTTCCAGCCTACTCTTCCGTTGGTGAGATGATCCAGCGTGCTGAAACGACGAGCGAGAGAATAGGGATGCTCGTACGAGGTCGTGGCCGTCAGACCAAACGTGAGGTGCTTGGTGGCTGTGGCCATGGCGGGCACAGTGAAGAGCGGGTCGATCAAACTGCGATTGCGACGACGATGAGAGCGAGAGCGCGGAGGGTGAGTGAATGCAACGCGTCAGATAAGAGTGGTTGACGAAATCCTGTCAATGCTCACGGGATCTGAGAGCCGGTAGCGAGAGAAGGAGCGAGGGACTTGGTGTACACGTCGTATCCTCCCCATACATCGGCCAAAAACAAACCGTCGAACTTGCCTCCTTCCAGCAGCTTGGCCAAGTCGGTCCAGTAAGAGAGCTTGTTGTGGAAGATGGACTTGTCGGCTGGGTGAGCAAAAGATCCCGGAGATTGGTGACCCGAGCAGCCCATGGCGAATGCGAACCTGAACGCAGAGTTTAGGCCCACTTGTTAGTGTCGGCTTCGACGAGTTCTGTATGCTAAAGCTCGGTGCATTAAAACTCACATCAGCCATCTCTTTTGGTCCGACATCTTGAGTGCAGTGGGGTACGAAGTCAAAACCAAGTAAAGGGCGGGAATCGCAGGCAGTAGGAGCTGTGATGAGGGCTAAGAAGCAAGAGAGACTGCAAGCTCCTTGATGATGCTCGTGGATTAGAAAGTCTTTCACGACCGCGATTCGATCATCTCATACAAGACGTGGCTCGGGGCGCTATTCCTACTTGCAGCGGTTCTTCTCGATCGCGGCAGGGATCTCAAGAGTCACGAGTGCAACTGAGATGAATCTCCACCAAGATTGGGTGGAGGCGTGCCATGTATGCGCGAGTTGAGCTGGCCACTGGGCCACTCGGCCGTGATTGCCTGATCGCTGCCCATCCGTGCCACTCAGAGAGCATGCATTTACACTGTAGAGCGACGGCAGGCGGCAAAGGCAGGCCCCAGGTGGAGATCGACAACCGTGTATATGAATGCAGTTCATCAGAGATGCTTTGTGGTGAATGTGTGATTGCTTGTGATATGTGCGTTTAGGTGCCGAATGCTAACTGCACATCAGCATGTATGCTGGTAGAAGAATCGTGTTAGTGTAGTTGAGCAGATGCTCCGTGCACGGCTCTTGCGCTCCCAATCGCGTTAATTTGCAGCTTTTGACGCGAGTTTTGCCTTGAATCGCGTGATTCAGTCACGTGTTGGGGCAATCCCCCTTCTTGACGGTCGAGAATATTTCACCAATCACGAGATCGGCGGGTACAGGTGAGCATGCCGCACTCAAACTCGCGACTCAGCACTCACGTGACTGATGACTGTGACGGCAATCAAATCGCTGCTAGCTGTGCACGGACGTTGAGAAGGGAACGAATTGGCCGAGAAGGGGCACGCTCGGCCAATCTGAACTTGGCGGAGATGAGGAGCCTCGAGCGCTGCATGGCTGCAAGCAAACGAGCAAACAATTCACACAAAGACTCACGACTACCCCATGCACTGCCACGACTACGTACGACAACCCACGACGGCAACCCACTGCACTCTCGTCACCTCTGCCTGCTCGGACAAGGGCCCTTGCGACCATCTATCTGATCGCCGCCGCATTTCGCTCCGTTTCATGTCCGGTCTGTTGGCTTCACGAAGCGCAGGAGGTGCGCCTCTATGCACCTCCACCTCTCCCTACGCTCCCTCAGCTCTAGCATGGCTTTCCAAAGATCCCGACCAGCGCACACGAGATCAGCTCGAGTCTCTTCTCGCGCGTGACGATGCAGATTCGCACGCTGAGCTCCAAATGGCTTTCAAAGAAAGGCTGGCCTTCGGAACGGCAGGTCTGAGAGGTATCGTGGGACCAGGACCTGGTAGGATGAACCTGCTCGTTGTTCAAGAGACCACTTTGGGTCTCGCGAGGTTCGTCAAGGAAGAGTATGGAGAGGATGCAGCGAGAAATCAGGGAGTTGTCGTGGCATACGACGGAAGATTGGATTCGGAATCCTTTGCAGCTTCGGCCGCTTGCGTCTTGGCTGCTCAAGGTATCACCGTTCACCTCTTCATGCAGAAAGCTCCAACGCCGCTTTGTGGTTTCGCCGTTCGGAAACTGCACGCGAGGGCAGGCATCGTCGTTACCGCTTCTCACAATCCGCCAGAGTATAATGGTTACAAGGTTTACAGAGCTGGTGGTACGCAGATCAACACGCCCATGGATGATCAGATTGCCAGGCACATCGACGAGGTGGCCAAAGAGACTAGAGCTCCCCTCTCCATAGACCTGTTGCAGGCTGTGCAGAAAGGCTTCATTCGCTGGCTAGAGCCGAGCATCTTTGATGAGTACGCGCAGGCCATCTTGGACCGCACATCGGCACCTTTATCACCGGCACCTCTCCAACCAAAGGACTTTAAAGTAGCCTACACGCCCCTCCACGGCGTGGGCGCTCCTGTGGGCGAAGAGCTGTTGAAGAGGCGTGGGTACGCCTTCTTCACTGTGCCAGAGCAGCGGGAGCCGGATGGACACTTTCCCACTGTCAAGTTCCCAAGTGAGTGGTCCGTGGCACAAGGAACACGCATCTGACTCGCTGACGCGTCACCCCGCTCTGGCCGCAGACCCAGAGGAATCGGGAGCGATGGACAAAGTGATTGCGCTCGCCAACCAGCAAGGATGCGAGATTGCCATCGCCAACGACCCGGATGCGGACAGGTTGAGCGTTTGCGCTCGCAACAAGTCGAGATCGATGATTCAGCTTTCTGGCGACGATATCGGATCTTTGCTGGGCGATGCATTGCTTCGGCGAGCGGAGAAGAGAGGGGCTGAACGAGGCTCGGACCTCAGCAAATCTTGGGTGCTCAATACCATCGTCAGTTCGAGATTGTTGGCTCGTCTAGCTCTCAAGTATGGCGCTTCGCACAGGGAAACTCCGACGGGTTTCAAATGGCTCGGACCAGCCGCGTCGCAACTTGAAGAAGCAGGCGACGAATTCTTGTTTGCTTACGAAGAGGCTTTGGGATACATGGTGCTGAATCTGGTGTGGGACAAGGATGGTCTTTCTGCGCTGCTTTTGCTGGCCGATTTGGCATTCGAGCTTCGGCAGGAGGGCAAGACGCTGTTGGATAGGTTGGAAGAGGTGCACAGATCAGTGGGATTGGCCGTCAATACGCAGAGGACCATTCGCTTGACGCCTGGAATGAGCGGTGCAGAGGTGATGAAGAGGATCAGGAGCAACTTGCCAAGCAGATTGGGCGAGCACGAGGTGCTGCTGATCGAGGATCTGAAAGATGCGCCAAAGGCGCAGGATTGCAAAGAGGGACAAATGCCGAGCAGCGACGTGGTGAGGTTTTACTTTGAGACGCCCGACATCAAGAGGGGTACGGCGAGCTTGGAGGAGATCAGATTGGGAGCGCCTAGAATACAAGTGAGTTCCATCCCGAATGAGTTCCACGTCGCTCTAAATTTGCTCACGCCTCGTGAGCCATGTTCCCGACGCAGGTCCGGCCGAGCGGTACGGAACCAAAGGTAAGCCGTGAAGGCCCATTTGCGCTTCAAGAAGAGGATCCGATTTGCTGACCCGGCGTCAATGACCACCTGCTTCCAGGTCAAGATATACTGCGAATCTGCTTTGAGTCCTTTACATCCCGACGCAGAGTATGCTACGGAACGGGTTCGTATTGCGAATCAACTAGAAGACATTGTCAATGTAACCTTTGACTTTCTGCGAGGATAGCAGATGGAAGCGCACATCCACATCCACATCCACATCCACATCCACATCCACATCCACATCCACATCCACATCCACATCCACATCCACATCCACATCCACATCCACATCCACCTCCACATCCACATTCACATCCACATTCACATCCATGCGCGCAAGCACAGACACGCGTGCATGTAGCAATACCTAGCATAGTGTCCAATACCATTGTATGGGGCGGCAAAGCGCTGCGTATTCACACTCTAGTCTACCTGGAAAAGCCCTTGGCGATCAGCCACGTTGATCTTAAGCTTTGCCAGATCCTCCTTTGAGTCTGGCAGACCAAGACCGGCAGTGATGACGTCGCCCGCAACGACTCTCCCAACACCCTGAGGAGTACCTGTGTGCGCGCGCGCGTATATCAGAGAACGACTGATGAGCCTCCTTCGCGCTTCGGATTCCCTTCACCGGACTCACCGGTCAGGACTAGATCGCCGACTTCGAGAGTCATGATGCTGGAAATGTATTCCAAGAGGTGCGGAATGTCAAAGATCATGTCTTGCGTATTGCCATTTTGCTTCATCGCTTCGTTGACCTGGACACGCGGCAGGCAGGCAGGAAGGGCGAGCAGGATTGGCCGCAGAGCGAAGCAGAGCGGTTTGTCAGCCTTGCATTCTTACCAAAGACTCATCTTTCTTGACCCTTCTCCCTTTACCACTCACAGCAAGCCACAATCTGACATTGTGCGGATCGGCAATCTTGGACTTTTCGATGAGCGAGCTGCGCGGGGGAGAAGGTGAACAGAGTGCGGTTCGGTGTTTGCTGAGCTTGTCGCATTGGCTCGTCTCGGCTCGGCTCGGCTCGGCCGTTCGAGAGCTGCGTGGCTGGACATGACGGCACAGCATTGAAGCTCTCACCTGACCGGATTAAAGGTGTCAAAGCCTTTGGCTGCGCTCCATGGAAGACCTGCTTTCTTTGCCTTGTCCTGAGCAAAGAGGAATGAAGCGAGATTGTTGGGCACGGCTTTACTGCACTATACGCGTACATGTCCCTCTCCTTTCACTCACCTGCAGGTTGCGAGCCGTCATGTCGATACCCAGCGCTAAAGCGAGCGCATCATTGCAACAGTACGAAGAGGAGGCGCGGGGGGAAAAGAATCGCATTTGCGAATAGGAGTGTAAAGATGCAGCCCGTTCATTGCGCTCTTCGCAGGCCCGCAATCTATCTCTGCCCCCTCCCCGGCGGGCATCCCACTCACCATAACCGCCGATATGCCTCTCCGCATCTGCCCGCTTCACATCTCGCGCTTCTTTGCCCACCACCACGCCGAGCTCCACTGCGATGCGAAGTGCGAGCGCGGAAGCAATGAGTTGTAAAAAGGGGGGTGCGTTACAAAGCGTCAATTCTCTGCTTATGCGTCGCATTTCCCCCCCCCCCCTCCCCCCCCCCCCCCCCCCCCCCCCCAATCCCGAGGTCGATGCGTGACTTCTTCGAGCCAAGCCGCCCATTGTGGCTAGACCCCCGACCAAAAGCTTCATCGCAGATCGCGCGACGCACCTTCAAAGTGAGCTTCGACGCCCTTGGGTATCAATACGGTGCCTCCATCATCCAAGTAGCTCGTTGTAGGTTTCAAAAAGAAGAATGGGGAAGTGGGCACGGCATTGCCTAGCTCTTTGGCATGAGCTCCGAAATTCCGACCGATGGCTACGATCTTTTTGCCCGAATGACGAAAGGTGGAGATGGACATGATTGTGAATGGGGGCTTGGCTTGCGTTCGCTCGCCTCGATAGGATGACGCGGGAGCGGTTTGATCCGGTTTGATCCCCCTCGATGGACGTTGAGGGCAAGGAAATGGGTCTGCGCTGTCGAGTGCAAGGCAGAATGGGTCGCTGGATTGTGACTCGACTGTAGCGTGCTGTGTATGGAGTGCAACGATCGAGCTGCTGCTGCTGTTGCATGCACCAATCCACCGCTCGACCGCGCGGAGAAAGCACCTCAACTCCGCGGAGCCCATTTGGCGACTTGCCTACCTGGCCGCACGTGGGGAAAGGACATCCGCGGTCACGTGGCTATTATGCGGGATATGATCGAGGAAGATGCGGGCGCGGGCGCAGGCGGGTGCGCATTCGCATGCATGCAGGGTGCTGTGCGATGATTCAGCGCAGCAGCTATGCATGGCGTGTGCGTGCGTACGTGCGTGCGTGCGTGTATGCTCTGGATGATCTCGATTCGAGGCTTGCAAGGTGATCAGTCATCAGAGTCGAGCAGTCAGAGTCGTGAGTTGTCAATTTTGGAGTGGTGAGTCAGTATTGAGCACAAAAGTTGCAGTGACGACGTGCGTGCTCCACTAAGCGTCGATGGTACGAGAACTTCGTGCGAGCGCACACAAATTCCCCTTCCCTCACCACCACCCTGTCCTCGCAAATCCCATCATAACCCCCCTTTTGCAAGACATTTGACGCATTCGCACTACTATTGCACAAAATGGCTACGCACGACCCCACTGCACAAAAGGCGTCCAGCCATGCTCAGCTGAACCCTTCGCAGAAATGGGACGAGGTTCAAAAATTCATCAAGGAGGTGCCCACCAGCATGCTCGTATCCAACAGTCCTGACGGAAAGCTGGCGAGCAGGGCCATGAACGCGGCCACTGTCGAAGGCGGCATCTTTCACTTTTTCGTAAGTATCGTCATCGTCATCGTCGTTGTAATCGTCGTCATCATCTCTGCTCATTTCAGACAAGAGGAACAAGCAAGCTTGCATAAATAGTGTCCCGCGCGCTCAGCTGACGTCCTGCCTCCTCCTTCTTCCGTAGACCAACGTCGAGTCAGGCAAAACGAACGACTTGGAAAACTCTCCCCAGGTCAACGTGTCCTACCTGAACCCCAAGGATGGCTCCTGGGTATCGGTGAGCGGTACGGCTCGAGTGAACACGGACAGGGAGAAGATCAAGAAGCATTGGCATCCTTCCTTGTCCGCTTGGTTCAACAAGAAGGACGACAAGCACGATGGAACGGCCAATGACCCTCGCGTAGGCTTCATCGAGGTTCATCCTGATGAGATTAGGTACTTCAAGGTGAGCAGCACAACCTTGCATGCGCAAATACCCTTCAAGGGCGATTCGCTACCTCTCGCTTCTATGGCTAACAATCCTCTGTCCCTTTCGCTCGACCACCTTCAGTCCGACGGTGCACTCAAGACTGCAATCGATGCGGCAAAAGCAGCTCTTACCGGAGGCGTGGCAGCACCTGGCAGCTTGATCATCATCACTCAGGAGGAGGTGAGTGGACATTACAACTATGCTCCTGCTGCAATACGTACACTGACACTCGAGGTTGATCTTTCTGCTTTGGTAATAATCAGCTCAAGGTTCTCGCGGACCACTTCCACAAGTAAATGTACGCGAACAAGACGAGTTCAATAAACGCAATGGAGATCAAATAATGTGAATGTACCTTCATTTACCCAATGCTTTTTGTCTCTCCATACGGCACCAAGACGTAGTAACGAGTCGCGATCAGCCGCCATGGTGACGATAGGATCAGACTCTGGGTTGCATTTTGCACTTGTTGGCTATTTGCCTTTTTTTTTTCTGCTTGGCCATTTCGATGGTATCTGATCTTTACAATACATCAAGCACATCTGCATTGTCCTTCCAAGGAGACTGACCCTGCATGATCTCTCGCGATTGTCTGGCAGGTCGCGCGACCGAAGCGTCGCAAGTGCACCAGTGACCCACTGCACGAGCCAAGCGGGTAGGTGAATCGATGACAAACGTCTGCCCGCTTGCTCTCTCCAAGCTCGCAGCTAAGCACAGACTTGCCAGCTGCGCCTCTGGTGCATCTTGCGAAATGTGAACCGCAAAGATGCGCATCGCGCCTGGTGCTCCCTCTGCAGTGCGGGGATCGCCCAGAGCGACGAGTGCGCCAAACACGTCGGCTAGCACCACCTTGGCTCCATCCTTGACAGCATTGGTACCGGTGGCAGCGCATTCCTGAAAGGCTTCCTCCACCAAACCGCTCACCGCTTCTCTAGCCGCAGCACCAATGTTCTTCGCTGGCGCCGCTGCCAGAACCTGCGCAAGGGCGGAGAGCGAGGATTCTGCCAACGTCTTTGCATCTGGCACCGGACCGGTCTGGGCACTTCCAGCTGCGCTCGCTGCCGCAGCGGGGGCAGGTCCTCCCACAGCAGGTCGCGATCCTGCCACGAGCTCCAAGATCACTGGGTCGACACGCGCCTGCAACGCCATCAACACGCCCAGCGCGGTGGCAGCTTTGGACCGCACGTTCAAAGAGGCGTCCGAGACGGCCTTCTGGAACGAACGCTGAAGCTGAGGAAGGAATGCCTTGGTGTGTTGAGGGACGACTCGCAGGGTGGTTGTGAGAGAGACCAGGATTGCAGCTTTCACAGCGCCCGGGTGTCGATCACCGCACGCTCTGATTAGCGGACCAACCATCTGAATGACGAATGGCTTGATCGCGTCCGCCGACGTCCGCTCCACGATGTCGGCCAAACCGTACGCTCCTTGTTCGCGCTGCTCGGCCGTCCCGTTTAGCAGGCCTGCAAGAAACACGGGCACCAGGGGCGCAGGCCCTTTTGGTCTGCACAGTCCCGGCAGTTCTTCTCCCGGTGCACCAGTCGTCTCGAGGGTTCGGCGCATGGGCACGACGAGATTCTCAACCTCGCCCTTTGGAACTGTTTTGAGCAGCGCGTCCAAAGCTGTCCATGCCTCATCCACCACTTCCGATGTGCGATCTTCGAAGAGCGACAGTAAGCGGCGCACCCAGTCTTGGTGGTAGTCGCTGATGTCGACATCGCCACGTTTGACAGAGCAAAAGGTGGCAAAGAATCGGCAGCCTCGTACTCGCTGCTTGGGATTGTCCCTGTCGCCTGCCCAGCCAAGCAAGAGTAGCATAAGCTGATGGAGACCCTCAAAGTCAGAGACCGAGCTCAGAATGCTCGAGACTGCGCCCTCGAGGTCCGATCGCGTCTTCTCATCCGCTTCCCTCTCTAGCGAGGTCGACAAAGCTCCGAGAATGCTCGACAATCTGTTGATAGAATGCAGGTACAGTCAGCTTTGGATTGAGGAGATTGATTTGGTGCAGCACTCCATTCAGATACGCACTTCTTGGTGAGCGAGCTGCCTGCAACGCGCACAAGGGCAGAGATCGCGCGGGCATTAAAGGCAGAGATGGGCTGCTTCGTGAGAGTGGGGACCACCACGGGGAACACCACGTCGCCACGAGCGCGCATGACTTCGCGGAGGGCAGCGAGTGCAGTCTCTGAGCTTCCGGTACCCTCCTGTAGCGCACCAAGCAAGGTTGGGATGGTCTCGTCAATAGCTCGAGGTCCGATGACGCGCTGCAGGGCATCGAATGCGGACGCCGCGGCCTGCCGTACTTTGGCAGATTCGTCGACCAAGCCGTGACGAACAATGGCGATGAGGCTGTCTTCGTGATCATCCAATTGCGCTGTGTGACAAAGTCTAATTGATGAGTATCAGGCGAGCGCATGGCCAAACCAGTGCACTCACATCTCGTTGCTGCCGACAGAACTTCAGTGACAGCGAAGCAGACACCTGCCCGGAGCTGCGCATCGGATGCTTCGGCACCTTTGAGCCGCAAGAGAGGAATGCACTCTCCAAGGATGCGCTCTCCCAGCTTTGCAACGAGCTCGCCAAGCGTTCTTCCGGCCATCTCTCCTTGCTCCACGCCTTCGGCAGCCAGAGCCTGTGCAAACCAAGATGACGCTGCTCAGTCCAGCTGATCCATTTCCATTGGCTCGCCAACGTGCACTCACCTGGATGATCAGATCCAGCATCACTGCAAGTACCTCGCGAGCCGTCCGGGGAGTATTCGCGACGAGCGTCTTCCAAACATTCTGCGCAGTCTGGCGCACGTTGATGACAGAGTCTTGGCGCAGGATATAGATGCCAGCAAGGATGCGATCTCTTCTTTCCTTGCCAAGGGACTCCATGAGCTGGCGCTGGATCGAATTGCCTACCACGGCGTTCTCCTCATTTCCTTCGCCGCCCTCTTCGTCATCGGCGACATCATTCGCGCCAGAGATGCCGCTGAGCTTGTACAATAGTTCAGCAACGAGCTGGATGGAAGAGAGACGCACTCTCCAGCTCTCGTCGAACATGCCGCGCTCGAGCTCTGGAAGGAGCAGTTGTCGAGCTTCGGACGAGTACTGAGCAATGACCATTCTACCCGCGCGCATGGACACTTCGCGCACACTCTCGCTTTCATCTGCGATGCCCGAGACGATTGGCGGCAAGATGCGTGGCAAGTGCACAGCAAAACGAACGCCAAAGGTGGCGGGCAGATAAATGAGCAGCGTGAGATGTCCGACGCGCACGTATGGTCTGCTGCTGCTCGCTTGCGCAATCAGCTCGGGTAGCAACGACTCCATGCGTTCCATGCCAAGCGCTGCCAGCACCTCGGCCAGACCCTGCGCAGAGCCTTGTCTGTCCACTCCCGTCGCATCAGAGCGCAGCACTTGGAGCAGGCTGGGCACCAGCTCGACAAAGTAGACCTCCCCAAGGCGTTCCACCAAGGTGCCGAGAGCTCTGGCAGCGACAGCTCTGGCTTCCGGAACGGGCGACACCAGCACGGTCCGAATCAGAGGCACCAAGGTTTGCAAGTAAGGTGTGAAATCCTTGGCATCGGTCAGACTGGCCAAGTTGCCCACAATTTTCGCGGCGTCTTTCTGCACTTGAGCGCTCCTCTCTCGCATGCCTCTATCGATGACTGGAATCACCAATGCCAGAGAGGGGGCGTCAATGTAGTGCACAAAGGTAGTCTTGAGCAGCCGTGACTGTGCCGTGGCCGTCTTTGCATTTGGGTCGATGAGTGCTTTGAGGAGCGTGGGTACCAGTTTTTTGATCTCAGGGTTGCGAATGACCTCTCCAAAGCCCTTGATGGCTCGCTCGGCCGACTGTCGCACTTGAGTGTGCGAGTCTTTGAGTGGTTCATTGAGGCTTGGGATAATCGTTGGCAGTGCGGCAGAAAGTTGCTTGGGAGCGCAATAGGCCATTGCTCCTAAAAGCTCGATTGCGCCCTTCTTTGTTCTCCATTGTTTGTCCTCAAGGCCGTCCAGCAGCGTCGGAAGCACGACCTTGACGCAGTAACCTGAAAGGTTGGTCATGAGAACACGGGCCGTATCTTGCGTGGCTTCGCGCACATCCGTCGACGTGTCGCCAAAGCTGGCAAGCATGTGGGGAAGAATGCTGGGAACGTACGGCTCGAAGAGCCGCTGCAAGGTGGCAGAGAAGGTTTCGTACGCCATCATCGCTCCTTGCCTGCTCTGCGGGTTCTTCTTGTCTTCGATCGCATCGGCTAGTCGCTGCATGATGCGATACTCTGCGATGCTCGAGATACCGCGCCCTTTGATGAGACCGGCCAGACCATATGCAGAACCTCTTCGAAGAGCATATTTTTCGCCATGGATGAGATCGGCGAAGAGACGGTCGACCATTGGAGAGGTCGCATCGCCCAGAGATCGGACTAGCGGTGGCAGGCAGTCCGTCACAGCGACTTGCACCGTCTCGGATGGGGTAGCGAGGGCAGCGATTAGTCGATCGACGACTTGTGTGACGCGCGTGTCCGCGGGCTCCAGGTGGCGTGCCAAGCGTCCGAACAAAATGATGACTGCTTCCGTCACCCCGTCGTCTCGCTCAAAGGCAGGTGTGGGATGAGACAGGTAACTCTCAAACATGTGTATGAGGCCTGACAATGTGTCCCCGCCTCTTGCGTCGATGACGGCTGTGCCAGCCTCGAGCATCTTCTGTCTGACCTCCTCATTGCGATCACCAAGCGCGCCTCCAGCAATCAAGAAGTCAAAGAATGGCTCAACATCCGTGCCGTTGAACAGGGGTGCGAGCTTTTGAAAGGCGAGCGCAACAGCTGCCCTTGCCCGCCAAGGATCTTCACGGCCCACCGTTTCGTCCCGCACAAGACCGTACATGTCCAGCTCGGGCTTCAACTCGACGGCTCGCAAGTCGTAAAGCTTGCGAAGCTCTCCAACCAGGGCAGTGACTGACTCGGGATGAAGACGCGCTGCTTCCGTGAGGGCTGCTCCTGTAGCGATGCGCACAAAGTTGTTTTCATGCTCGAGCAAAGGCACAAGCGTCGCCATGTAAGAGCTCGGCACGTCCATCGCGTTCTCCTCCCAAGCCTTCTCTGCCAAACGAGCATTTTCACCGTCAGAGTCGTGGCAGGCAACCCAAAGCTCGACACAGTACTCCATGTGGGTAAGGTCGAGCGGCTGCAAAGCCTGCAAGCTGCCAGAGCGAACATAAGTCTCGTCAGCGAGAGTGTGCCTCAGAATGACGGCAATCTCCGCCTGGGTGGCGTTCGTCTTGATGGCTTCTCCCAAAGAGCGGAAGATGGCGACAGCTTCTTGCGCGAGCTGGGTATGTTTCGCAACTACGTGCACAACATTATCTACGAAGAGAATGCGAGGAAAGCGCGGATCCTCGGAAGCTGCTGCATGGAAGCCCATAAAGTCGAGGGCGAGTTGGACCTGTTCAGCGATGCTCTCAGCGTCCGTTTCTGCCACACCAAGTCCGCCATTAAAGATAACGCGCGTGATGAGGGGGCTGATTAAGGAGACGCTGCCCAGGTCCAAAGGAGCAGCTTCGCTGACGAAGCGCACTCGATACAGCACTCGAAGAGTGAGGTCGCCGAGCGGCTCTCTCCGCAGGTCCTCCGAAATGAGCTCTTCGTCGACGCTTCGGAGAAGGGCAAGACGTAAGGATGCCTCGTACTCTGCCAGACGAGGAGAGAGCACAGAGACCAGCGAGGTGACAGCCTGATGTATTTGCTGGTTCGCAATGATCATCGCATGCGGACTTGCAAGCAGGTCCGAGACGAGCAGAGTGAGCGTCGAAATGACCCCTTGCGTTCCTTCACTCCTCGCCATGACGATGCTATCAATGGTCCGCATAGCATGCACCAGCTTCTGCTCAAGCAGCGTCACTCGCGCTCGAACCTCAGCTTCCAGCTTCAGTTGCGTATCGATGGCTCGCTGCTCCTCTTTCGTGAAGGTCTTGTTAGCAGCTGCCTTTTTCCGAGCGATCGACTCGCGCAGCTCTGCCTCCCAAGCCTCGATATTAGCGTCCTTTCTGTTTTTGTCCACTGCCTGCTTATCTTTCTTGGCCGCTAGAATGTCGACGAAGAGGGTACCTGGAGGAGTGTGCCAGATCCCTAGGTCTTGCTGAGTGAGATTTGCCAGGTCGTCTTTGGCGACATTCGTGATCACTTGACTCGTCAAAGCTTGAGACACAAGTGATGGCGCAATGAGGACCAATGTGGACATTGCTGGATATGCAGCTTCACGCAGGTACGGAAGGTCCTTGGCCTCGTCGCAAGAGCTCAGCAATTGTGCTAGCTTGTTCTCAACAAAGGCGGGAGGGTCGACCTTGGCTCGGAGCATGAGATCCACGAAAAGATCTCGGTCCCGGTCTTGCAGGACAGGATGGTGCGCGAGTACCAAGAATCGCACCAGGATATCTTCGCACTGGCCTTCGGCCACGTCATTGCTTGAAGGGATTGTAGCTTGCAGGAGCAACCTCAAGATCCTTTGGTACGATTTTGGCTTGACTGTCACGCCTTCTGCATCCGTCGACGCCGACGTAGACGAGCCAGCTGTCGGCAGGGCAGAATGCCGAGCCTCGAGCCATGTGGAGAGACCTAGGTGGACGAGCTGCGGTCCCAGGGCCGCATCGCGCTCGACGATGTGCCTGACAGACTCTACCGCCGCTTGCGATGCCTCGCGATGATTGGATGACAAGACGCAATGAGACAGTGCCAAAGCAGCGGCAGTCCGAGCGGACTGATCGCCTGCAAGCTTGGCGCTGTAGCGCAAGATGACACTTTCCAGAGCTCGCACGTGCCAAGTCTCTTCTTCGAGGCCCGTCGCTCGTCGATAGATCTTGTCCCAAAGCACAAAAGACGGCTTGGCACCGCCTGCTGCCATTCCTTGAATCACCGCATTGTCCGCAATGAAGCTGTCGATCTTTGCTGAAGACCATCCGCCCATTCGGCCAATGAGCGCAGCTACGGCGATGTAGCCCTCCAAAGGTCCAGACTGGGACGTCAATGGACTGGTAGTCGCGGTTTTGAGATTGAAGGCGAGGCCGGGCAGGAGTGCTTCGCCAAAGCTGAGAGAGGCGGGTGTTGCGTTCTTAGAAGACAAGCCCCATAAGGTCTCGCCGACGCCAATGCAGACCAATTTCCTCAGAGGTACCTTGGGATTTTGAAGCTCCTTGGCGAGCGAGGTCGCTACCGATGCTGGCGGAGCCTGGCCCTGGCTCAGAAGCCAAGCAGTGTGAGAGGTGATGGCTCGCACAGCAGCCTGCATTGCAGATTCGTTGTTCTCCTTTCCAAGAACCACAGCGATCACCTCTGTGATCGAGGCAGATTGGTCCGAGGCGGGTTTGACTCCAGCAAGCATGTCAAAGAGAGCCCCTCTCTGCTCGGGCGAGCTAGCTTTGCCAGCCTTCAAAGTGCTGAGCATGTCTTCCGAAACATTTTTGACAGCGGTCGCATCCTCTGTGCGCGAGACCAGAGTGCCAAAGAAGGCGACTGCACGCGCCCGAGTTGCCGGCGCGCTAGATCTCGAAGCGGACATGATGGAACCCTGCAGGCCCTTGAGGTGCGGTGTCAAATCGCCATGATACGCGCTGAAGAAGGCATTTGCAGGAAGAAGCGCAATTTCGGGTGATCTGAGCAGCATCTTTTCCAAAGGAGGCCTTATGAGAGTAGTGACGTCCTCCTCCGTCACTTCTGCGGCGATAAAGTCTCTCAGCGAATCGGGGACGTGCTCTGGCACGGCCACCTTGGAGGAGATGACGTTGGCGGTGTAAAATGTGAGAATGTCCTTTTTGGCCTCTCCGAGGGTGCGCCGACCAAATCCATCGGAACTGCCCTTTTGCAGCTCTCGACCGGACCGCAGTCTCAACGCCACGTCCGTGACTACTCCAAGCAAGACTACTGCTCTGAATGCTGCTGGCCCTGTCGGTGTAGAGACGATTGTGTGGATCAGGGCAACAAGCTCCGCATGGGACTGAAAGTGGAGCGATGTGCTTTAGCATACTCTGAGCTGAGCAACGCGACATTGGACCTCGTAGCAGACACTCACACTTCGGACCGTCTTTCTCACTATCCGCAGCACCGAGAGTCGTCCGGAAGGCTTGAGCTCATCACCACCAAGCAGTGAGTCCAGCACGAGGGCAATGTTGGATACAAGAGGCTGCCAATGTGGTGATTGACTGGCGTTATCTTTTTGTTCGAGAGTGCCGCTACTGGTGAACGAATCCACGAGCGTAGCGAAAACGGCGCATAGCCAGCTGAGCAGAGCAATCCTGACAGCAGGGGCGCTCGTGGGTCCTGAACCCGCCGCTTTGCACAGCCGCTCTGCCTCTCTTGAGAGAAAGCCGACTGCGTACCTCATAGGCAGCCCCTTGGGCTCTTCCGAATTCGCCCTATCCTGTGCAGCATCGCATCGAAGCAGCGTTGTTCCCGCCGTCAATGCTGCCAAATGAGAAGATCGATCGGAGAAACGGCCGTAGGTGTGGAGGATGCGAGCCAGCAGCTCTGCTCGTTGCGAAGATGACACAGCTGCAGACACCGAAGCGCATGCGATTCGCATCAGGCTCTGCCTTCAACAATGGAAAAAGATCTTGCACCAGCACTCACACTTGGACTTTGCAGCAGTGACCAAGCCCCCACTCATAAACGATGTGCGCGCCTTAGAACTTCCGCTGCGTATCCTAGCCTCGGCCAAAGAGAGAAAAGCAGGCCAGTCCTCGGCGGGTGCATCGCCGATTGCGAAAGTCGCAGCTGCGCTGCTGGCAGCACGAGCTTCTGCTCCAGGTGCCATCTCGTCGTCGCTATCGTAAGGTTGGTGTTGAGAAGCTGAAGAGCTTTGACTGCTGGTATGAAGCCAGCCTTGCAAGTCCTTTTTAGCTTTCATGAGTGCCCGCCAAGCGCGGATCGCTTCACTTACAGCGCCGCCAGAGCACGAGCTGGCAGGAGCAGCAGCAGCAAGGACCTCCGACTTGAGAAAAGGACTGCACGCGGTTGGACAGCCTCAGATCAGCAGGCCGTAATGGAGTGAATCCTGCTCTGCTCTTCGAAATCCGTCGAGAAGAGCCGCGTGCTCGCTTATGCGCCTATGACTCGCAGTGCCTCGTGTATGACTCGACTTTAGCACCTGCCGAAGGCAAGCAAGGCTGCTGCTGTGGAGGCCCAAAGGGTGGATCGGAACGAGCGCTGAGCTCTTTGGCCGATGTCGTGGCGGCTGTGCTCTGGTGTGTGGTGTGTGTCGCTGCACGAATTGCACATGAGAAGCACAACAGAGAGCTCTTCTCTTCCTGATCCTCGTCAAGACTGTGTGCGAGTAGAATGACTTGTGACTGCCAATCGAGTTGGTTATAGTGTGCAGGAAGATTTCCAGAATAATTTCGTCTTCGCCGCGCCGTGCGAGCTTCGTGGGGACCGAGGGCCGTGCGTCCGCACTCACGACTGCCGCGCCCATCATGCAGATGCACGTGGTTCGCGCGGTGCGTCTTAGTGGATGGGATACACCGCGCCACACAGTCAGCGATTCAAGATTCACATTCCTTTCGGTGATTTTGATTCATCAATCAGTTGTCATACAGCTCCTCACCATATGGCCTCCGCGATGAGTAACGTCATGCGCTTCAAGCAAGGCTCGCACAGGATGGCAATAGATGCTTATGCACTCACGTGACTACTTGCACAATTAGGAGCGGAGCTGCGTAGGCGCGCATGGCTGATGGATCACAGCTATATACTGTAGCTATAGCCGCACGTCATTCACGGACTGCGATGGATGGCGCACACTGATCTCGCCCCAAGCCTATCTGTGGTCTCATATATATACATGCTCATCGTGTATGCATGGTTATTAAGTTCGAGTCGGCCAATTAAGCAACCATCAGCGGGCGTGCGCGTGAGGGCGCACATATGTAGCACTTCACTCAGTTTCAGGCTGAGACTGGCGGTGCATGGGTTGCTTGCTGGGTGTATTACGACACACGCATGCAGCAGCGTTGCTGTAAGGTACAGCCAAACCGATCGGCAGGCCCTCCCCTCTTTTGCGCGATGACCGTGACCCAGTAGTAGCCAGGGGATGGGGGCGCACACATACCGCGCTATATACAAGTCACAGCCTGGCTGGTTTGGGTGCTGCTGGTCGATCGATCGATGAAAGCTTTACGAGGACGCCGAGCGCCGTTGCAGCTCTCGATGATCGCGTTTGATGCGTCATTCACATTCGCGCGTGATTGTTATTGTGCCGTCAACTTTCATACACGCTGTCTCAGCCCACAGCTCTATTGGATTCTGCTAAAGAGCATACGAAACCCATCAAAGATCGTTGAGCCTAAATTTGTTACAAGTCAAGGCACCGCGGAAGCCGCGAGCGGGCGCTCGATCACTCGTCTCGTGACTCCTGCACAATACGTGGCTCGCGTGCTAAGCCGTCCGTTATACGCTACCGGTACAGCTACCATTATTAATGGTCTTGAGTCTTGCGTATATAGGCTCGCCCACGCCCTGACTTCTGTGCTCGCCCAGCTTAATTGCACACGACTGCTGGGACTCGTGACTGTGACTCGTGGCACAGCCGCACGGTCAGCTATGAGGCGTGACCAAATGCACAGCGTAGCTCATCAGCATTCGCAGCGCTCTCACGTATCCCATACCACCCTCTCTCTTCTCCCCGCATCGACTGCCGCTGACATTTCCAACATTTAGGCTCCGACACTGAAGCAATGTCAGGCTCTTCGGAGCAGTGCCCGTATCGGGTGCTCGGAGTGGCCTCCGACTCGACGCCACGAGATATCAAAGCAGCATATCGAGCAAGGTGAGTTCTGAGTCGAGAATAGATGCTGCGCAGGCAGGCAGAACATTTCTTGCAGCTGCGCACTCACCATGCCCGCCCAGCAGAGCATTGCAGACTCATCCGGATCGAGCGGAGCCGCACAGAAGGGCGTCCAGCGAAGAGGATTTCAAGGTCTTACTTCGGTGAGCTGAGTGATGGGATTCGCAGCAACGAGCAACGTTTGCTCGGTGCCAATACCTCGCTCACGACTCGCAGCGTCGACGTTCCTTGCTTGCTGGCGCAGAGCCTACGAACTTCTCTCAGACCCAATCCGCAGAGCTCAATACGATCATAATTGCACAGCGCACCTTTGTCCTGCACAAGCACCTAGGCCTCAATCAGCAGCTCCTCAGGTACAGCCGCAGCAGCAACAGGGCAGACGACATCAAAAAGCGGCCTCAACCTCTGCGAGCTCAAATTATGCGCCCTTTCCCGGCATTCCCCGCGCTTTCCCTCACAGCCCTCCAGCTCCGCCACCCATGTCAGGCTTTCAGACTTTTGCGTGGTCGAACCAGATGCCAGCCTGGGCACCTCCCCCCAGCGAGCCGCCGCCGCCCCATTTTCTGAGCCGAATGGACGCCTACACAAAGCCTCCTCCTGCGCCTGCCTTTCAAGGACGGCGCTCTGGTCATCAGCCATACGACGAGGCAACGACGTTGGCCCAGCCCTTTCCGCCGCTCCTCGAGAGCGCGTTCGAGCCGGAACATTTCGACGAGCCGTTTCTCAGCGGGAAAGAATCGAGGCAGGATGACTGGGTCCACGCATCCAGATTTGCAAGGTGCGCCTCTTCATTCAGCGCGCCCCACGCTGCACCGCACGAGTCGGGCGCAGCGTGGAACTCTGATTGGCAAGGACAATCTGCAGCCCCTCTTCCGTCCGCATCTCGTCTGAGCTCTACAGCGAGGCACTGCCCCTCCACTTTTCGCCTCCATGCCACGCTCACGGGCATGCGGCGTGATGATGGTCTGGTGTTCGATGGATCGGTAAGTGCGAATGGGAGGTTGTCTGGCAGCGCGCTCCAAGATCGGACACATCTGACGCCCCAACCAGTAGCTCCACGCCGAGTATAGGCAAAAGTAGCCAGCCCTCATCTGCCGGACCATTGCTGGCTGCGGTGAGGCCACTTGCTGTGCTTCTGAACCTGGCCAAAAGCCGCGCACGGCGCGCTATTGAGTCGATTGGTGGAGCCTTCGCTCGTCGGAATAGCATCAGAGGGGAAACGGTCAGTAGCGAAGTGGTCGCCGCAACCAAAAATCTTCCAGTCAGCGTAACTTTGAACCTTTCACTGGCAGAAGAGTTGGTAGTGGTCCGCGCGTTTCCACCTGCTTCGCAAAGACGGCCCAGAGGCGCTTCGACCCAGCCTCTGCTCCATGCTTGTCCGCGCGCCTCTCACCTTTGGCCCAGGGCCACGAACGCTGCAGGCCTTTAACATGGGCAATCGATTGAGATTTACATCCGCAGCATTATGGCAAAAGCTGAACATGAGTGGCCAACCTGAGGCTGAAGGCAAATGCATGGCGAGAGGCGCTGAAGGGAAGACTGCGCCCGGTTGGGGAGCCATGATAGCCATGATGAGAGTTCGGCGTTCCTCTGCCGGAGAGAAACGCGGGAACCTGGGTGCCCTGGCACAGCGAAAAGTTGGGCATTGGTATTGGTTTTGCGTGACGATCTCGAGATGTGGCACGTGCATTGTGCAGATCTTCATCACTTCTTGTTCTGCTCCCGAGCCGCTTTGATCAGAGGACTCAGTGTCCGCAAGCTGTCGCAATACTTCAAGAAGGAGTGCTGTATGGCATGCCGACACCAGAGTCAGCCTGAATCCATTCAGATGCATAAACGCAACACTCACTCCAAGGACAGTCGTGGCATCTGGCCTTCTCTCTGCGTCCACATCCAAGCACGTCTTCAAAAAGTCGCGGAAGGTGCTGGACAAATTCTCCGGATTGTTGATCTTTGGCGTACCGTTTGTCGCGATGAGGTACAATGCGCGAAGCGGGTTCTCATTCAGGTAAGGAGGCTCGCCCTCCACCATTTCTTTTGGGGCCAGTGAATGAAATCAGCCCGGATCTCGAGATTGGGCACATGGCTCGGTCTCCCTCACCAATGCACATGATACCAAGACTCCAAATGTCCACCTTCGGCCCATACTCTTTGCGTGTGACCACCTCGGGTGCCATCCAGTACGGAGTTCCGACCATCGTAGTACGCTTCGCTTGGGATTCTCCGATCTGAGCGCAGAAGCCAAAGTCAGCTGCGCAGGAGAAGCAAAGCAGGCAAAAGTCAGCATCCTGGTTGATTCGTGCGCTGAAGCTTTGGCCCAACGCACTGAGCTTGATGTCACCGTTCATGGACAAGAGGATGTTGTCGCTCTTGATGTCTCGATGAATGACGCTGTTGGCGTGCAAATGACGCAGACCTTCGAGCACTTCGCGGCTGACTGCAGCAATTTGGCCCTCTGTCATGATGTTGCATGTCACGACGTCTGTCAGACTACCGCCCTCCATGTACTCCATCACCACCCACAGATCGCCCTTGTACAAGAATGAGTCGATGAAGTTCACGATGTTCCGATGTCTAGATTCTCGCATAACCAGAATCTCGTTGATGATCAAGTCTTTCTTTGGCTGTTGGTCCAAATTCATCTGCTTGATGGCCACAGACAGATTTGATCCCACCTGATAAGCTGTGTACACTCCACCTGAGGCTCTATTGGCGTAGCGCCAAGAAAATTCGAGCCCAGTCAGCTCTTCCTCGGGCTGCTGCTGGACCGCCGCTGAGCATCGCACACTCACCCTTGTCCAATCTTCACTAGACTCCTGTATAGCTTCGTAGGATCTGCGTCTGTGCAAATCGCCTGCAGTTTTGCGATCACGTCTGCATCGTTCATCTGTGTCTTCTTCGTCTCTCTGCGACGAGGCGTTGCGCCCGGGCCTTTGGTGCTGCCACCTCCGGGTGCCGCTGACGGGCTCTGTGTCTTGGACGCAGCGACCGGAGGTGCTGGTCTCGAAGCGACAGGCGCGACGCTCGCACCCGAGGCACTTGCAGTAACGGCCTTGGGCGGCGCTGGCTTGACAGCAGCCGGCACAGGGGCCGGAGCCGGCCGTGAGGGTTTAAGATCTGGTACCACCGCTGTTGGTGCCGCAAACCTTTCGGGCGAAGGTGGCCGTCGGAGGGACTTCTTCGCGGAGGACGCACCTCCAGGTGGAGGGGGAGCTGCCCGAGGCTTCTCGTAAACGCCCTTTGACACTGGCGGTGGAGGCTGTTCCTCCCCCGCTCCTGATCGGCCGTCTGAGCTACCCAGTGTGCCTGTCCCAGCCGAAGCGGAAGACTTCGCACCTGCACCCCCAAACTTTCTCCAAACGGCTTCTTCTTCGCCCATGTTCTGCGTAGCGTCCTGATAGAATGCTACTATATCCATGACCGCCTGAGGATTAGCCTCTTGGTCCTGTTTCGAAATGCCAGAATCTTGCAGCAATTGTTGCCATTCCTTGGGCAAGCCCTGTGCAGAGGATCGAGGCAGCAGAGATTGGCGTCAAAGGCTCGTAATTTCAGCGAAGCAATACAGTGTGCTGCTCGATCTCACAGTAAATTCCCCAGTGTCGGAGTTGAAGCCAACATGGGTCAAATGGACAGGATCGTAGGGCGTGGAAATCTCGATCTTTTTCTGCTGCGAGAAGACATCTGAGTTGAAAGCAGAAGATTCGTAGACAGGGCGGCAAGTACGTCAGTAACTCCGTTTGCTACACAAGCACTTGAAGAGCGCTCGTTCTGTTGCGCCATGCAACTCAAATTTCCTAAGCATGATACTCACCGCTCATTGAGTTGACGAAGCCGCCAAAGACTGATTTAAAGGTGTTGCGCCCAGCAGGGCCGCTCAGACTCCCATCCCGTGAACGAATGCTGGCCTGGGGGCCGGCAAATTGGCCGCTTGGGACAGACCCTGCATCTGCATCTACCACCGGTGACGCTCCTCCTAAATAATCGAATGTAGCCGAGCCGCTGCTGAGAGGACTTGAAGTCGTCGCACCTAGATGCGGAGATGGAGCTGGCCCACTAACGCTTGCGTGCGACCGCGCACCAGAACTAGGTACAAAACCGCTCGGTGTGACACCTGCTGGCGCTGCAGCATAGTAAGCGTCTGCACCCATCGTGTTTGATCGCAGAGGTGGTGCCGGTCGCGGCGCATCTCCGGTAGAGGAGCCTGCGCCATACTTGCTTGCGCTGCCACTTGCATATCCACTCGGCGCGCCGGTAGAGGATGGCAAGCCAGAGCGTGCGGCAGAAGCTCCCCCACCTGGCAGACCGGAAACTGCTGTGGGACCTTGGCGGTACGACCCCGCAATGTATGAAGATCTCTGCGGCTTGCTGGCGTAAGACGAGCCGCTCATTGGAGGGCTGCCGTGAGCGGCGTAGGGTCCACTGGAGCCTATCGGTGCAGCTTGGCTTGGCCGCACAAACGCCGACGCGCTTCCACTCAGACTAGGGGAGCCAGTAGCACTGGAGGCGTATGACTTGGATGAGCCTGGAGGCGGCGGTGCGCTGCGTTGTGGTATAAGATCAAGCTCTCCAGGAACCGCGCGATTGGCACGGAGTGCGTCATCGTCGCTGTGAGAATAGCCATTGCCTGTTCCGTGTCGTGCTGCAGTTGCCGCATGATCGTGCGAGCCGTATCCTTCACCAGTGGAGAGAATCTGGGGAGCACCAGCAAAGTCGTGCGGGTGCTTGATGATCGACCTTCGTGGTTGATGTGACATGATTGTGGCCCCGTTGGATGGTTTGATACACGCGCACAAGAGTCGACTGTTCCTACGTGATATCTGAGCTGAGCTGAGCTGGTGGTCGTGCCAATACAAGTGATTTGCTAGGCCAGCAGCAACCTCGACAACACACCGAGACCAGGGTCGCGCCTAAATCTCAGGTGGCGTGCTAGGCACGGAATGCCGACAACAGATATTCTGAGGGCCGAGGTGAGGAATTGGGAGGCAAATCAACGTTCGGTTGATCCAGCTAGGCGCGACACGAACAGGCTGCGAAAGATGAGCAGTAGCACAACGTGAGTACCCCAAGCAGTTGATCGGAGTGTCGTGGAGCCTTTCGCAGCTGCAATGTTGATGGAGGTATGTAGAGGCAGCTGGACCAGCTTCCACGCAGCGTGCCCGTTGAAGATCTCGATTGAGAGTCGCAGCGATTGAGTAGGCGCCAAGTAGCAATGTGCCGTTGCGAGCGCTGTTCGCGATGCCCAGTGAGAGATGAAGCACGAGGTCAGAAGAGCAGACGTAAGGGTGGGACTTAAGATGGAGCGTCGGTATCAAGGGCTGCGAGTCGACTAGCGACGCACCCACCGGCCTAAAGGTACCGAAATAGGATCTGAAGGAGCAGCGCTGGTATGTGCTGTTGCAAGGGACAAATCGAGCTTCAAAAGAGGTCAATTGCTGCCGTTGCTGCGATGAAGTTTTGAAGAGCTCCGCGCACTCGAGTGTGGGAATGAGGTTGGATGGAACTTTGGTGCTAGTGTACCCAGCAGCAACGCAGCAAGCATACTTCGGTCCGCTTGCTGCTGCTGACCGCGAAACGCTTGAGCTGTGTCCGCGCGCGCGATGTCATGAAAAGCCGCCCCATCCCACGCACGCACGTACGCATCAGGGGGGCGGCGGTCTTGCAGCCCGCTGAGCCTTCACCCTCACGGCAGCAGCAGCAGAACGACACGTCCGTGCTGCTGTTCAAAATTAGACGCGTCAGGGCGCATCTTGCATCCAGCATGCAGCAAAGGCGACGTGCGTACGCGCATTAAGCAGGGAAAATCTTGCAAATTCAATCTTAAATCATACAGGATCTGGATTTGAGTTATGAATCGGAACGTGCTGAAGGCTTTCAAATGAGGAGCAAGTGAACAGTCAACAGTGAAGAGTTCAATAACATCCCGACTTAGCATGCAAGCAGCAGCAGCGGCAAGATATTCCTGATTATTTTCGAAGTGCAGCGGTATAATCAGGAATTAGAACTTTGTATGGTTTGCTCCTCTGACATATGCAGCTCCGATTTGCCGTGACGCAGAAAGTGAGACCGAAAATTCGAACTCACTCCGCGTTGACGGTGTGTGTATGCGCGCATGGCTCTTGCGTTTCCAAGAAGCCGTTGCGCGAGCAGAGCTGTGTTGCTCGCTCATCAAAGAGTGAAAGGGGCAGCGAGCGCAAGTGTGAAAAGTCACAGTATAGTCCAGCAGCAACGGACTCGGATTCGACACTTCCAGTCGTGATTGGGAGAGGGGTCAATCAAGCAGTTCGGTTCGAACGAAATTCGCTCTCGCTCCGGTGACGACAATCACGAATTTGGTAAGGTGATCGGGGCGGCCCGCTCTTTGGACGCGGTCGCCTGGCTGAAGACTTTCAAGAGGCCGCGAGAGGTGCATTCTGATTGCGTCTCGGATCCTCGAGCGCCTCAAGAAGGTTGTGTGTGAGCGCAGCCTCATTCGATCAAAATGCGACATTGCAATCGTGAATTGAGTGGGGCGCTGGATCGGTACCATAGCACCTCCGCCGCATGCTCGCGAGACCAGCTCGAGTTTGTAGATGCGCGGCCCGCTCAGGATGACGGTGGGTGTCGCCCGCTACCCGACCGAGCATGGTTGGCACAGGCGCTCCAATCTTCATTTCACCGAGGTGGCTCTACACCGATCAATGAGCCCATAAACCACTTGAGGTGGCAGACTGCTTTGCGGATGTAGAGTCAGTAGCGAATCTAAAGCACGCGAGCAGCTAGCGGCAGTCGATGTGTCTCAGTCCGATTGCATTGATGGCTGGTCTCATTGCAGCTTTGCCGCTGGGTACGGGTACGACTACAGTACAGTATGCTTGGTGTCGTGATGTGACGCGCGAGCCTGTAGATCGTTCCTCAGAACAATGGTTCGAACTGAGGTTCACAATGTTTCAGCCACACGAGTCTCCAAATCCTTCTTGACACGCATTCACACTCACTCTAGGTCCAGTACTCTTCTGAACGTCTTCGTCGCTAGCACCCAGCTCATCCTCATCTGGCGGCTGAGTATGAGTATCCGTGCCCTCGAGTGCACGCTGGCGGGCGGCGTTCTCGTCCGCCTGTGTACCCTCATCATCGTCGAGGACCATCTGGCTTGCGTTCTCGAGTGCGTCTTGCCACGACTTGGCGGCAGGCAAGCGAGCGCCCGATCGCTGCATCCCTGTTCTTGCTGATGAGTTGAGATTGCTTCGTCCACGATTGGTGGCAGCAACAGGCTGGGACGCAAAGTGCCCAGTACCGACGGACCCAGGTGGTCGAATGGACTCATCGCGTTCCTCGTGGCCAGATGACGGAAGATGAACGTGTCGCAAGGATTGAGAGCGCGCATTTGCAAGCGCTCTAGGCACCTCGCGTCCGTTGACAGAAGACGAGGAATTGATCTTGTTGCCAACGCTGATGTTACTGGACGTGTACAATTTGACGCTAGGAGGCGTCTCGTCTTGTGCAGACTGCGGCACATGGGAGGAAGGTGATCCTTGCTCCTTCTCGACATGATGTGGGCTCGCTTGGGCACGAGGGCCAGCGTCAGCCCGGTGCTCAACGGCGCTGGGAGCTTGGCTGCTGCGAAGTCGTATATCGCCTCTTTGGACGCTCTGCTCGACCTCTTCCAGGGCTGCTAGATCTTCCTCGTCGCGACCTCCAGCTTCTTCGGATCCTCGATCTTCACGCAAGGCTTGTCCATCTGATCCTTGAGAACCTCGAAAGAGAGGAATGTCAGTGTTGTGGCGCGCGAGAGCCACGCCTACTCTGGGTGTAGACTCCTGCATTCTGGGTGGCCGGGCTGAGTCCATGGCGCTGGCATTCGGCTGGGACTCCCCATTTTGCAGAGTCGGACGGCGCGAAGAGCCTTGCGGCCGAGACGAGTCGATCGCTCGGCTAGCTGCCTCGGCCGCTGGGTTCGCAGCACTCGATGGTCCTGATTGCGCGCGTCGAGCCTGTGCAGCACTTGCTGCATCAGATGGAACTTCTCCTGGTGTTGTAGCGATAACAAAGTCGGCGTGCAGCGCTTCAAGCTGGCAACGAATGCGCAATGGCTCGCCTCCTTCGCCAAAGCTGAGTTCCAGATTCACACCCAAATGCTCGCTTGCTGCAATAGCAGCCTGCAAAAAGAACAAGAGTCGCTGATCAGCAACGATGCGCATGAGAGAGTGCAGCCCTAGAGTCACGTACCTTGAATTCCTTCAGCGGAAAAGTAAGGCAAACTTCTTTCACCATCGTAAAAGCCTCAAAGGCATCTAATTGAACTGTGACTTGGGTGGCGATTGCGCGTCTGAATTGATCTGGTAGTGCGCGAATTGTCGTGAGCCACGCTGAGATGAGGCGTCTACAAGCTCATGAGAAGAGGCTCACTCTTATCTAGCGTGTCATCCGCCCTGCTGCGCACCATGAAGAATCGTGGACCACACCAGAACGTCACCTCACCACCATTCTTGTTGCCAAAGTGGTCGAGGAAGTCGTGCACGACTTTGGGACCAATCGATAGCTGGCATGGCGCATTTGGTGGGACATTTGGCCAGAGACCTGGCACTGCAGCATAAGTGAGCTTGTGAGTCTTTACGATGCCTGTGCACGCATGCAGAAGACGTCGTAAGCCCGGGTTCAGGGAAGCTGCTTCAACGCTCACACTCGCTCACCCCCTTTGCTGTGAAGGCGTACGGCAATGCGGCTTTCGTCCTCGTGGTCGAAGATGCTGATCTCGCATCTATCGAGTGTCTTGTTGTTTCCAGTTCGCAGGACAGAGAGGATCGGCTGGCTCAAGAGAGCACGACACGTGAGCATGCTGCGCAATGATCAACGCCGAACACCATAACTCACTCGGATGCCAGTCTCGCAGTCGATCTTCTGGTCCAGGTCCGTTCGCAGGACTTCGAAGAAGTAGTCGTAAAATTCGAATGCGCAAAATCCTGATTGAGTGGAATTGATCGCAGAGAGTCGCAACTTTGGATGGAAGAGGGCGAATGGTCGTTCAGCAGCTTGCCCGATCGATGGCTCATCAGACTGTAACGCTTACCTTGAGTGAGTCATTCTCGAGGTCACGCATACATTGTACATTCAGCCTGTCGCTGAAGCGCAACAAACACGACAAGGCATGAGTGAATGCTGCGGGTTGGGGTCAGGGCCAGCCGTGAGCGACGCTAGTGTCACCAGTCCATATCACACTCACGGCGAACGTTACGACTTGGAAATGCTGCGTGCATGCTGCTGAATTGCCAAGGATTGAGAACGTCTTGCTTACATTACGCCGTTTTCAAGAAGATGGAACGCAAGCGACTTCATCCCATGATCTTCAGTCTGACCATTTCACGTCACTGTCGCCATTCAAAATTACAGAGCTCTTTTGCTTCGAGATGGTGTAGCTAGGTTAGATGACTTGACCAGGCCGGTAGCTAGCGAAAGTTCAAGGACTCAGCACGATGGACGTCCAGTCAGATTCCGCATAACGATGAAGGGCTCAGTGAGGAGTGACGATCAATCACGAATGAGTATTATTGACTCACAGAAGAGTCTTGAGTCTGGAGCCTATTTGGCCTGCCAGGGTTCTCGGCTTTGACATAACGAACAGCGCATGCGTTACCACGGTATGCGTTTCTTCTGCTGCTGAGCGCGCGCGTGCCGAGCATGGCACGTGATCAGCGTCCACGCTGTTTCCAATTTTGAATTATTGGATTTCGGAATCTTGATCCTTGATTAAAAGAGGCCACATTCTTGATTAACGATTCTGATTGCTGATTTACTCGCGATTCGTTGGTCCTCTTGAGACTCTCGCTGAGCAGCGTTCATCCTTTTGAGATGCTTCAGATGCTCACCGACTCACTCCTGCGGTCCGAAATCGTTCATAGTCAAGAGTTGGACGTGCCAGGAGGCGAGGTCCATGCGCCGCAGATGACAATGACTTCAGAGATGGGTAGGCGGTGACACAACACCAGACAGATCAATGTGTGGGTGCACGAGCTCACTCAGACTGCTAAGCGAGCCTTGACGCAGGGCACATCTGGGCGGAAACGCGAACATCTGGACGTCACGGCGAAGGGACACTCAAGACCCTGCGTATCATTATGGCAGTCCCCCAGGCGGCATGGGTTCGAACGATCAAGCTTGGCAAATGGCTTTGCCTTCTCACGCGCGAGGACATGAGCCGCCTGGGCTCGGAATAGCTGCGATCGGCGGGCTAGCGAGAGGAGCATGCAAGAGCCCGACATCGGCGTGCATGGAAGCAAAGATGGGAGGGGGGAGCGAGCGGGCGAGTGGGAGCCACAGAAATGATGAGCTGCCCACCCACGAACCTACAACATTCGTGATCTGATTGTTCGAGACCTGTAGCTTCATGCCGCCAGTGGTTGGTGTGCAGCAAGAGGGAAAGCGATCCACAATTTCGCAATCAATTGATGGTGCTGCTGCTGACTGCTGAGCCTTAAATGCAGCGAAGCAGCGGCATACGCACATCGTGCATGATGTGGAAGCTCCGAATCTAGAGGTGCGCAGCTAAAAGCGTCGGAGCTTGGTCCTTGCGCTTCTTGGCCCAGAACGACCCTTCCTGTGGTCACAGTCAAAGCGTGTCATCGGAACCCTAGCTGCTGCCTGCCATGCTGTCTCCGTTCCGAGGCGTTCGCGTACTGCGACGTGCTTAACGCAATGTGGAGCAAAGCAAGCACATACAATAGTTGAGTACGTTGTCGTACCACTCAGAGCAATGTCCGCCCCAGACGTTGAGTTTTTTGCGCCGCTGTCAGGAGGCAAGCCGTTTGGCATTTGATGACATCTGCCAATACCCCTGCACGACATGCACATGTGGGCAAAGTACTGTAACTCAGATGGTCGAGCAGACTGAGACCTAGCATGGAGCTTGTTTTGAAAGAGAGGACGACGATCAGCGTAGGGTCGAGCTCCAGCAGCGCAAATGTAGCGATGCGGCGCGGGCCAAGGTAAAGGTGGGGAATGGAGAAGACTCGATCGTGACGGCTATTAATCGCATCGTTTATGTGGTACCATGTCCATATAAGTGCCGTGTCTCACTTCCGCGATTCGAGTTGGTCCGGAGCGGCGCCGCACTGCTCTCACCAGGGGGGTGGATTCGTACGTGGTGGAGTCGTGAGTGTTCGTCAGTGTGCAAACAGTACGAACCTCCCCCCGCAGAGCTCAGGTAGCGCTTGCTCTGACGCCGTTCGAGGTTGGCGATTGAGCGTTCATCGAGGCTCGGCAAAGTCCATGAGCAGTCTTGAGTCCGTCCTTGTGAGGCCAAGCACGTGTGTAGAGTAGGCGGCAAGACCATAACACGTGATACACGACACCTTTCTCCAAGTCGTCTAGGTCTTGACCTGCGATCGACTCACTGACACCCACGTACAAGTGGATGCCCAGGATAGTCGTGGGCGGCGGGCGGCGCTTAGGTGCAGCGAAAGCGACACACTCGATCGTGTTCATCATGCTGATGCGGGACCGATGAGCCGAACAAAGGACGGGGAGACATCTCAACTATGACAAGGGTGCACCACATATCATGTGCAGGAGCATATGAGCCTTGCTCAACGCATGAGTTGGCGGCTCAACGGCGGAAAGGCACATCGAGCATCTGATGCGTGCTGCCTTTCACCGCGAATACCGGATTACCGGGTATGCGACACTAGATCATTGAAGCGAGGCGGGGGGCATAGGGGGAGCAGTTGCGCTGAAATGGGCGCCACCGGAGGTTTGACGGTTCGGTTCGTTCCTTGCTGCTTTGCGGCGTCTTTGGTTGCGGCCGCATCGCATGGCGCCACGTCACTTTAAGCGGCGTGGTGCCCGCGCTCCTTTTGGTGGTGAGATGCTGCCTGCACAAGGGCTAATCACAGATTTCCACGCTCATACCTTCCGGCGCCGCTCCCGGCCGCCCAGCCATGTGAGAAGCTAGGAGAACAGCTGCTCCTGCCCTAGAGTCCCACCCAGCAGGGAACAGAGTGTAGCCTAGGCCCAGCCAGCAATCTAGCTGAGCGCAGACCAACACTTCCTTTCAATCAACGTCTAGCTGACACATGTGTAAGTGTTGTTCTGCGTATTTGACATGAGCAGCCCTCCCTTGAGGCTGCTATTGAGCGTGATCCCTCTCCCACACCACCTTGACTATACCCTCTCTCGCGCCTGCCCTTCTGTCCGCGTGTGCCTTCTCCCCTCCGTCAATCCACGCATACGCTGAGCTGCCTTTTCACCCGCCAGCGCACGCGCTGCTGGCAAAGCCAGCGCTTCTTGCCATGTGGCATATGGCGCCACGCCCAGCAGAACCACGCACCCATCGCACACGCGCGGGCGCGGGCGCCCCACGGGCGCGCGTGCGCTGCTGGGCTGGGTATAGAGCCAGGCGGCCATGCATCAGGCGCGCGTCGCGTCAGGCTACCGGCACCATATACTTGCACCACCTCCTTCGCCCTCTCATCGTGACCTCAGCCGGCCGCGTATCACTTGCTAGATCACAGCTCAGGCAGAGTGCGCGATAGCAGACGTCACTCCTTTTGGGCACATTCACACCGCACATTCGGTCTGTAGCTGCGTCGTCGTCTGCTGAGATCAGCCTCCTTCCGATAGGTCCTCGTCTGCTGCGCCTCTACGCAACCGACCTCGCCCTGCATCCACTCCTCGCGCGTAGATCGCGTCGCTTTCAGACGGTCCCTCTCCGTGCGCATGGCAACCTCTCGTTCCGGCAAGCATTCGGCAACGATCAGCGCTGGTCACTGCACTCTGCACGAAGCCCGCTTGACGCATCCTCCTTTGCCCTTCCGGATATCTTCCACCGTGCGCCATTTCGTCGTAGAGTTCCGAATGGCATGTTTGGCGGCGGGCAAAATGCTTTCGCGGGTGCTCTAGGGATGGGATCTGGCGATGCAATGCAGCAATTTGGGAATGGGAGCGTCAGCGGTGGGAATGGCGCCGATGCTCACACCCAGGGAAGCGCTCCGGAATTCGGTCAGATGGGTTTTGGCGCAGGCGCAGGAATGGGCATGGGAGCAAACATGGGCGGTATGAATGCTCCACAGCAATCCTTCAACTTTGACCTTGCCACCAACTCTGGCGGACTCAACCCCGCGATGCTTGCAATGCTGCAACAAGCGCAATCCTCTTCGAGCAATGTGGGCAACGTGCAGCAGAACGGAATGCCGTGGGCCAACATTCAGGGTATGGGTTTGGGGGCTTTTCCAAGCGGCAACGATCAACAGCTGGGTGGTCACCAGCAGCAGCAGCGACAGTCACAACAGAATCATCAGCAAGCACCACAGGCAGCCAATGGCCAACTTGGCCAGCAGAACAATCCCTTCGCTACGCAGGCGCCGCAGACTCCCAATCAGTCAGGCCAGATTCAGGGCGGTCCGAACATGAATTTCAACTTTGGCCAACAGCCCAACGGTCCTTTCAAGTTCGGAGGGGCTCAGATGTCTCTGCAAGGCCCTGGACAGTCAGCACAGAGTCAACAGCATGTGCAGTCGCCTGTATCGATGCTCGGCTTCCCTGGCGACAACACCGGCGGCATGTTTCCTCCTCAATTTATGAATGGCATGATGAGCAGCATGGGACCGGGCTCGGGAGCACTTCAAAGCCAAGCTGGGTTCCCCAGCCCCGGCAATGGCATGATCCCGTCCCAAATGCACCAGCAGGCTGGCAACATGCCGCGCTTTGGCCCTAACAACGGCGCACCGAATGGTCTCCCTGCTCATCTCAACAATGCGATGTCCTCGCCGAGCAGCTCCACAGCCGAAGGAGGCGCCGACGGCAAGGGCAAACGTGGCGGTGCTGCGAGCTCGAAGAAGAAGAAGGCCGGCGCCAAAGGTCCTCAGTCTGCGGCTGGATCTCCTCCGCCGGGCGGAATGGCGCCCGCTGGAGGTGTGCAAGCGTTGAACAGCGAGCGGTCACGCAGCCACACTCGAAGTCCTTCCATATCGGGTGCCTCAGTCAGCAGTATGCACCATCCACAAGGGCCGCTGAACGCTGCAAGGCCGCCCGGCACTCCTATTCAAGGTCAACATGGCCAAAGTGGTTTGCAAGCGCCTCCGACGCCCTTCTCACAGCTGTCAGTGCCAAGTCAGACGACGGAATCGCATCTGGGCACAGGCGTCAATGGCCCTCGTATGTTACCTTCAACCGCTTTGAACTGCCCTCCCGGATGGCAGCCCTCATTGGGTCCCCAGCAGCAGCAGCAAATATTAACGCAGGCCATGCACACCTCGAAACAGCGATCAGCGCAAGGCCAGGAATTGCCCGCTGGCACCGTACTTCAGCAGCTGGGCTTCATATTCGTTCGGGCGCATCAGCTTCCTGCTCATGTGCAGCTATCCGCTTTCAATGGTGGAGGTGCAGTGCTCAGCCTCACAGAGGCTCAGACGATCGGATTGCTCCCGCCTCCGAATCAGGCTGCACACAGCTCGACTGAAGGCGGCGCTGGGCCCTTGGGATCTGGCGGCACAGGCGCACCTCCGCGGACGCCGCAGCAGCAACATGCTATGCCTCCTCCGCAACATTCAATGCGTCCCTCGCCCTCGGGAGCTCCTGGTATGAATCAGATGTCCTCATCGCCCTTCGCGACGCCACACAGCCCCTTTGCCATTGCGAGTCCTGCCATGAGCGCTGCAGTACCCCCAAGAGCCAGACAAGCGTCGCAATTTGGCCAGCGGCGCCCTGCATCCCGCGATGGTGCCGCAGATTCAAATGCACGAAACGCACAGATGGCGTTAAGCGCAGGTTCTGGCGGGCACGCACGAAGATCGAGCACCGCCACCAACGGTGATGATCTTGGACTGAACGATTTGAATGGGGCAGGGCCTTCTCGCGGCTCCGCACCTAGCGTGCCTCGGCCGTCCGTGCAACCCGCACCGCCTACGGACCTCAAAGCTGGGCTTGCACCGCAGCGGCCAAAGTCGCCTCCTCGGGGCCCACCTCTGCCACCGATTCACGGTGGCGCCTTGCCAAAGACGACAAAGGGCGGACATGAAGTCGTTGAATACAACACTCGTCTAACGCCTCTGCCTCCGCTTCCAGAAAAGCCGTCAGCAGAGGAAGCAAAGGCTTTGACAGACGTGTGGAAGCCGTTGACCGAAGAGGAGGAAAGGGATTTGTTGGGAGTGATGAAGCGCGATCACGAGTATACCAAGGACATCCATCAGCTTGGGCGTCGACAAGCCACCACGTTGCACACAAGAGCTAGTCAATTGCGGGCAACAGCGGCGAACTTGCATTGGTGGGAACGCATGGACGGAGATGTCATCAAGCACAAGGACTTTGAGAGCTTCCACATGATCTTTCCGCACGAAAAAAGGAAAGCCAGAGCCCGACGAGGGAGACAGATCGGCGGGCCCTTGGCGTCCGGCCTAACTTCTGCGGAAGATAGGCGGCACTCGCAGCTTGCCGCTGCCAAGCTGGAAGACCTTGTGCCAATCCGCTTGGAGATCGATCACGAGGCGTGGCGCCTGCGCGATACTTTCACCTGGAATGCGAGCGATGCTCACGTTGGGCTAGATCACTTTGCGCACACTCTTTGCGATGATTTTGGCCTGCCGCACCAGGTATTTGTGCCCTCTATCAAGTCGGCGATACAGGCGCAAGTGCAAGAGCATGTCGCAGCCCAAGCGTTCCTTCCCAAGCGACTTGAAGCGTCTTCTGAAGTTGCTAATGTCGGCAAGATTGCAACGTCGGTGGATGACAAGTGGTGGAAGTCTTGGCGACGTGAGGTGGATCAGCGGGCGTCTGGTCGGGCGGTCAAGCGACGGAGGCGTTCTGCCACCGGACATGAACTCGATTCTGCGTCACAAACTCGACCTCATCCTGATCTTCGGATAGAAATCAAGGTGAGTTCGTGTACCGTTGCGTTGCGAGGAAGATGCTCTCACCCTTCCTGACACACGTCGGCATTATTCGTGCTCTTAGCTCGACATCACAGTAGGAGCAATGAACCTTGTGGATCGCTTCGAGTGGGACATAGAAGACGATGGGACATCTCCGGAGGCCTTTGCGGAAACATTTGCTGCTGACCTCGGACTAGCAGGAGAATTCAAGACGGCCGTGGCGCACTCCATACGCGAGCAGGTGGATGTGCACCGGCGATCTCTTGCCCTTGTCGGCCACGTCTTTGACGGCAGCGAAGTGCAAGATGAAGATTTGCGTGCTGCTTTCCTGCCGCCATTGACCCTTTCTGCTCGTGGAGAGCAAGATGCAGAAGGGTTCACGCCTCGTCTCAACCAGCTGAGCGAGGCCGACATAGATGCACTGGAGCGGGAGAGAGAACGCGAAGCTCGAAGAAAGAGGCGCCAGACTCGAGGCCGACGAGGCGTCAATTTGCCAGATCGCGAGCCACAAAAGACGCAGAGGACGCCAGCCGTGGGGGGATTGCAAGCAGTTCAAGTGGCCGCTTTCGAAGCCGCACACGGCGGCGCTTTCGGCACCTCCTCAGAATTCGGGGCCAGCGGCCGCGGTGAGCGTGGTGGTGGCATGTCTACAAGGCGGGCAGCGGCACAAGCCAACGCGTCGATCACAGGCGTTCATGACGGTCATGATTTCTCCACGCCAGCGCCAGAGACCGCCCCCGATACCACGGCGAAGAGCGTTCGGCTCGAGAGTCACGCTATTCATTTTGCGTACCCCGGAGGCCTCGGAGGCCCTCCAGATTCCGACGGTCCTCGATTTGCTCCATCAACCGGGTACGAGACTCGGGCACGCAAGGCAAAATCGCCAGTGGTCATCAATGCCCCCACGCAGCCGCCGGAGCCGCCACCTCTTTCTGCAAAGGCAGCCGCTGCTGCAGCGTTGGCGGCCAAAGACCTTGCTGCACAGCACCCAAACATTCACGACGGACAGTGGTTCTGCTCCAACTGTGGCGTCGCTGGAAGCGTAGACACTGGTCGGCGCAAAGGACCCCTCGGAGAGAAGTCGCTGTGTGGTGTCTGCGGCAAATACTATCACAGGCATCGGAGAGTTCCGACGATGCACTATACACGAGACGAGGCGTATCACCGCGGCAATCAGCACAACAGACGCAATGTGCGCCACCTCCAAATCGATGCTGGAGACGAAGGACCTTCGACGCAACCCACATCATCAGCAGGCACACCCGCTGGCACGACACTGGAGGGCGTGGCCGAGCGAGAAGGCGAGAATGACCATACGCAGAGCAATGGGATTGCGAAATCAAGCACAAATGCCGGCGACCTCTCGCAAGACGACGACGATGACGATGAAGAGGGGTCTGATGTGCGTCGCGCTGCCAATGGTAGACACACAGCTCAGCATTCGACCCGCGGAAACTCGCCCGACCTGCCGTTCCTGGTGCAGGTCGGATCGCCGGACGAAGACTCCGACTCGAGCTCAGACGAGAAGCCCGGTGGCCAAGACGGCGTTTCGAAGCGAGACGGCAGCGCGGCACCAAGGCCTCAGGCAGGAGTAATTCGCAACGTCTCGCCACTGCGCCAGGAAGTGCTGGGAGGTTCGACTGCGAGCCCCAAGTCTGCCGCGCTTGCGACAAGTCCTCTACCTCCTGCGCTGAAACCGCCCGAGTGGCTTACCGATGCAGCCGTGGCTTTACGCGCTCAGTATGCTCAGGATCGCTTTGAAATTGTGCCCAAGCCGCGCAAAGCAGACGAGCCTGCGCCGATCATTCAGGAATGGCGTGTCAGGTGCAATGACTGTCCCGGAAAGGTCAGTCGATGTGAAGGTCGTCGGTGCGACTTGACGCGAACGGCTGGCTGACTTTGCTTTGATTGCACGCAGCTGTACACTGCCGGTCCCGATCAAACGTTGCAGAACTTTTCCATTCATCTCAGAAATCGTCAGCACCGGAATAACGTGAGTAAAAAGTGCTGCACGTGCGTAAGCGTCTCGGCACTGCGTTTGACCTGACATTCGTCGCTAAATCCTCTGCAGGTCGCCTCACGGAGAACTGGATAGAGCACGAAGCCTCCGTTTGCCAACGCGTGCGACGATGTTGTCGCGATGTTCAACCTTTGACTTTCGCACCTAATTTCCTATCCCCTCCGTTGCATGTAGCAAATCGCGTCTATCCTGAATGGTCCGTTCTACCTCTTCTCCATCGGGACGTTCGCTCCCACCTCAATGCCACATTGTTCGGATTTAGCTTCTGCAGTTGATCTCTTCGACGTGAAGTCGGGAGCGACCCCTGTGTGCGCCAGCTGTCTATGGGGGCTCCTAGACGGGGCCGTGCTTACGTGCGTAACTGATCACGAAATGGAGCGCGGACATACAGCTAGGCGCGCTGCAAGAGTGCATGTTCGGCGTGCGGACCTCGTGGACGGGGTACGCAGTCTTGGATCAGGTTACAAGTTTGAAAGATGGATTAGAACGTGCCTTGTGGACCAGCAACTCATCAGCTGTGACACGGCAAAAGAAGAGCGATGCCTGTATGACGTTCCTTCCGAGAGCATCCTGGAAGCAAGCGCGGCTTTGACGGTTTGTCTGGTGTGGCATGCTCGAAGAGGGCCCTGAACTCACGACTGCATGCATACATGCACCGACGCCCCGGCGCATTGTCGCACACCGGCGCACCGGCGCACGAACCTCCACTTGGCGTGCGGGCGCAGGCTACTCCCACCTGCCGATGGAGTAGACTATAAAGCCTCCTTGTTTCGAGCCATTGCACTCCTCTCCCTCGCCACCATCACCCACTTGCTTCTCAAGCTTGACACACCACATCTCTCAAAGCGTCTATCATGTCATTGCCTACCGTCAAGCTCGTGTCTGGCCGGTCTGTGCCGCGACTCAGCTTCGGCATTGGAACGCAGCATTACCAGAGTGATGCCAGTTCGCAAGTCTCCAAAGCGTTGAGCGCAGGCTTCACTTTTCTAGGTGAGTGCCGTGCGGTGTTGCGTTCTTCCTCCTCCTTCTCCTTGCTGACTTTACGTTGCGCTGGATCATTGTGGCCTTCAAGATGCCGCCGAAGTGTACAGCAACACAAAGAGCATGGGTAAAGCTGTCAGCGAGCATCTGAGCTCGGGCGTAGCGAGCCGCAAGGATTTGTTCCTTCTCACCAAGCTGGGCTCACGCGGTATCCCAGATCCCCTTGATGAGACGAAGAAAGAGTTGTCTGATATCGGAGTGAGCGACAAATTGGACGCCGTCCTGCTGCACTACCCGCCTAGAGGCAAGAATGGAGCGCCTAGCAACATCGAGGCATGGAACAGGCTGGAGAAGGTCAAGGATGCAGGTCTGGTGGATGTGATTGGAGTGAGCAACTGGACGGCAAAGGACATCGAGGAGCTTCTGGCTTCCAAGCCCAAACACAAGATCGAGATCAATCAGGTGGAGCTCAACCCTTTCCTCTACTCTCATCCCGACATTCAAGCTTTGCTCAAGCTGCAAGAGAGAGAGGGCATCGCGACCATGTCGTATGGCTCTTTGACCTCTCAGTACAAAGACTTGAAGCCTGACAGCAAGTTCCAACAAACCTTGGAAAGCGTGGCGAGCAAGCACGGCGTCTCGCCAGGCACGGCACTCCTCTACTGGAACTTGCAGCGCACAAACGGTATTGTTGTGACGACGAGCGGCAAGGAGGAGAGGATGAAACAGTACGTCGAGGATATCAAGAATATCAAGACGCTCAGCGAGGAGGAACTCAGATCCATCGAGGATGCTGCTGCAGCAGAGGGTGCCAAGGGAAAGAAGTACTACATGAATCCTGTGAGTTCCTTGCTATCGTGACGCAGCATGCCCAATCAAGCACTCTGACGGCTGCCACGCTTTCACGCCTCGCTCACCACAGTTCTGGGAGCCTTGAGAGCAACGACGTCGACAAAGTCTAGAAGTGCGCCTGCCTTTGCGCTGCGCTCAGTACATCAACTACATCCTGTCGATACTGCTCTATCTAAGCGAAATCAAAAGCAATCCATCGTCTACGCAATACATTCCGATGCTAATGAAATTCGATGAATTTGACCTGTGACTCATCATTGCACGAGCGTTTGTGCAAGAGGTAGCTTACATGGCCGCTACAAGATCCTTGAGCTCGCTCTCTGGCAAGATTCTGAATTGTCCCGACTGCCTGCCATCCTTTGCAGTGCGAGGCGTGACAAGGGCGAGTTGAACATTGTGTTCGTCTAGCTTCTCTTCCATGACCTGTTTGAGCACTCTAAGGGTCAAGAGAGACGCATCCCTCAATGACATGTCCTACAGCGTCGCCGAGACCTCATACCGCGTCAGCATCCATAGTCGATACCAGAAGTGCTCTTCGAGGAACAGCGCTCACCTTTTTGTACTTGTCCTGCAATTCTGCCTGAGCACCTTCCGAGCCTGATCCGATCGCTTTGGCGTCATACCTCACCATCGTTCCTGAAGGATCGGCGTGGAACAATTGTGGTCCCTTGACATCGATTCCCGCCAAGAGGAGCGCCACACCAAACGGCCGAGACTGTTGGTGCGGCAAGGTGGGTCAGCCTACGGGGGCGAGATGGCAACTCATCTTGTCATCACTTGGCTCACCATCATCGCCTCGTCATCCTCGGTGCTCTCTCCGAAACGCAACGCCAGATCGCACACTGCTTGAGTGACGCTGGACACTTTGATCTCCTCATCGAACGTAAAAGCGTGGTTCTGTATCGAATGGAGGCGCGGAGAAGGTTTGTCAACGCCTGAGAGAGCGGAGCACAGCAGCGGGGCGGTCAAGTAGAGCAGCAGGAGAGAGCCAGTCGCTCGGCCACAGCGACCCCGCAAGGAGCCCACATGATGCAGATCATCCACTGCTCCGCCAGCTCCTCCACGTCCACGAGAGCTGACACCGCCTCGTCACTGGCGCATTCGCTCACCTGACTCGTGACTCTAGCATGTTCGATCATGGTCCTAGCATCCGCCGTCAGACCACTCATGGCGCATCCCACATGAGCGTCAATCTCCATGATCTTCTCGATGCTGCTCTTTTCCAAAAGACTGCTCTGTACCCTCTTTTCCACTCCCAGCACCACACCCTCTGGTACAGCGATGCCCAAAGTGGTGCTTCCTAGCTTGATGGCTTCCAGAGCATACTCTACTTGGAACAGACGACCTTCCGGCGAGAAGGTGTTGACGCCGCTATCAAGACGAGAGAAAGGCGACGGAAGGTGTCAGCGGGGAGCGGAGCTCGTCTTTAGCAAGATATGATGTGCACACACCGGTCGTAGCCATCGCGATTAGCGAACATTTCGGCAGAGAGCTTTCGCTCGGAGGTAGAGATCGATCGACTTGATGAACGCGAGCGCTTGATGGATGCGTATTGCAATCACGAATTGTGCTGCTGTGCTTCGTCAGCCACTTGAGAGAGCTTGCCGATGGTGAATGAACGTGGATGGCAGGATTGCTTGTTCAGGTTGCTGTCGCTCACGATCACGAATGTCATGCGCGCCCTTCCCAAAGAAAGCTGCTCACCACTCACGACTCGATTCACGATTCACAATTCGTGATTCATCCAGAAATCCGAGTGAGGTACGTGGTGAACGCGCGTACCAATAGCTGCGACTCGTGAAGCTGCGCGCGTCCGTGCGTCGGCGACGCAGATTGAGGTCACGTGCATACCATCCGGTGACGAATCGCGACCTTTAATTCACGTGATTGCAGGATATGCGCCGTGCTTGCATGATACAAGATCCAAGCATATGATGAGGCGCGCCAAGTCAAAGTGAGCGAGCGTCCGCTCCGATCATACCGCGGCTAGCCTCAACGGTGCGACGAACGACCATCCTGCGTGTCACGTCGAAGCGTAGCTTGGCTGTGACTTGAAGAGCAAGATCGAGCGCCGGTGCGCTTCGCGCGAAGACTAGCGCGAGACCGAAGAAGGCTCATCGGTCAACATCTTCTTCACCTGCTGTGCTGCCTTTTCGCTGCCTCAAAATGCTCACGGCAAGTTGGAATTCGGTTGTGGGTGGGCGCCGTTGCGTATGATTTACATGTGCATGCTTGGCAGCAAAATGCGATCGGGTTTGCACAACTCCGTTGCCGCTTTCGAGCACAGAGCTGCACTCGACTCGATGGCATTCACATTCTCTTCAGCGTGTCGGCTGCGCATCGAAACGTTGGTGGTGCAAATGCCTTCGCAATGAAGCTGCACAAACGCTCCCACGGCTTCAAGACAAAAGTGGAAAGTTTAGAGTGGTTCAGTCGTCGCGTTGGAGGTGCTGCATGGCAGCTCCGTTCAGATGTTATCCAGAGCTCTACACAAGCGTCAGGAACCGTTGCCCAGCCAACGGCACTAAGGCTCGATCGTCCTGCTGTGACCTCGCTAGCAGTGGACAGCCTGTTTGGTGTGGCCTATCAAGATGTCACTCTCGTCCTCTTTCCCATGCACAATCACATCCTCGGCTCGCTGCTTCCATCCACTCATCATCCATCTTCATTTCACTTTCGCTTCTTGCTTGCTCCTTCGTCTCGCTCATCATTCTTACTTTCTGTTGCGGCTGGACCGTTCTCACATTTGCTTCTAACAGCTGGTCCTGCCCCTCAAGCGACAAAAAGCTGAGCCCACGTTCCTTCCCACTCAACTCGGACTCGCAATTATTCTTGTCCAAATGAGGGCCTTTGGGCTACCCTCGGCGCTGGTCGTCGCTGCTCTACTCTCTACAGCCATCGGCACCTTCGCTGCCCCTTTGAGCCAGCGGTCTCCACAAGCAAACAGTACCAGCGCTCTTCAAGAGCGCGAAGGATCTCCAACCAACAGCATGACCTACGGCTCTGACGAATCACCCAAGCAAGCGCACTTTGGCAGGAACTCCGTCGTAAGAGGGGTCAATCTGGGTGCCTGGTTCGTTCTCGAATCTTGGCAAAATCCTTCGCTCTTCTTGACGCAGGATATCCGCTCCATGCAACTCAACGATGAGTGGAGCTGGATGAACGCCAAGGGATCCAAAGCGCAGGAGGATTTGGTCGAACACTATCGCACATTCATGAATCAGTCGGATTTTGAGGCTATTCAACGAGCAGGTCTCTCAACCGTCAGGATCCCCGTGCCCTTGTAAGTCTGAGAGCTTTGTTGGACGTTGGAGGGATATTCTCGTCAAGGGCAGCATCGGGACAACCTTCGCTGCGCTTGAATCTGATCTGTATTCCTTGAACATGTTCCAATTACAAGCTGGACCTTTGTGCCCACGGTGAAGCCAGAGCCATACCTTGCCAGCAGGCAACGAAAAGCTTTGCGCGATGCTCTCACATGGTCAAAGCAATATGGCCTTGACGTGGTCCTTGACCTGCACACAGTTCCTGGATCTGTCAATGGGCTGGACAACGGTGGCAGGCTTGGTGAGCAGGTGAGTAGTCAGCATTTCAGGGAGGCGAGATGCGCGCTGCGATCGACATCTCACGCATTGCCCTTCCAGGCGTTTGCCGACGACCCGAACAATGCAAAGCGCGCTTTGAACGCGCTGAGCGTCATGACGGACATGTTTGTCAACAACGCGAGCTACGGTGGCGTAGTCAAAGCCATTCAGGTAAGTCTTTGTCAGGAGACTCAAACAGGTAATGCCACCACGCGCTGAATCGTACCTCACGCAGGTCGCCAATGAGCCCAAAATCAACGAACGCTTGTCGTGGTCAGTGTTGCAAGATTATCAAGCAGCAGCGCTCAAGACTATACGCGCTGCTATCAAGCCATCGGCGCCCGTCGTCCCTACCGTCCTCTTCTCGGACGCTTTCCAGCCCTGGTCCAAGTACGATGCGCTGCTGCCCTCTGACGCTTATCCTACCTCTCAGATTGCGGTGGACCATCACCAGTACTTTGTGCGCGCATGGGATAGCCGTGTTCCAAAGGACGACGATGAGCTGATCGATTACGTCTGCGCAATCGGTCCGCGCATCGCAGCAGCCCAAAAGAAGCGCGCCGTCATCGTTGGGGAATTCTCGTTGGGTCGCGAAACGAGATGCGTAGACTACCACACTTGCCAAGACGTCAAGATGTCGCAAGACGTTTCAACTCTGAACTCAGCAGAGAACAACAAGTTTATGCGTGCGTGAAAGAGGGCCTCTTAGTTTCCTTTGCTTCCCGCATTTCAAAGTCCGAGCCGCCTGACACTGCATTTCCCCCTTTTCGCCGCACCATCCGAACGTGATCAGGTCGCTTCTTTGAGGCGCAAGCTGCTTCTTACGAACAAGGAGGAGGATGGATCATGTGGTCGTGGAAGACAGAGTCCGCTGCGGCTTGGTCTTACTCGGCTGCCAGAGAGCAAGGTTGGATACCGGACGACGTGTCGGACCCTGCTCAATGGCTTTACAGACCGGCGGATGAGAGCCAGAGAAAGGCACTGCCTGATGGTCAGTGCATCACCACTCAGCCTTCCCGCTCACCACGCTTCGCGACGCAGTCATAGACTTGTAACCTTTTGCAATTCTGACCAGTCTTGCCTGCGCTATGGGTGGAATGCATGCTCGGCACTTTTCTTTTTCCACGCGCCATGCACTTGTTAGGCCGATATCTTTGCTCCCTTTGTATGGAGGAACCCCACTCGTGCGTGAAGCGTCATTCTGACCGTAGCGCGGACGGAAGTGGCCGTGCCGCTGCCATCGTGGTCCTGCTAGTACACCCCTCACTTTCACGAAGAATTCAGCGTCGTGAGCGGCGGAAGCAAAAAAGCGAGCTATCTACAGTCTGATGAATTTGTGGCGGTACGGGTAGCCGAGGTCATGCATCGTCAGCCTGATCGTCGCCCCCCATCCAAGGGAAGGACACTGACTGCATCACACCCGACCCGATGGCGTCCTGCACGCTCCTCATCGCTTGCCGCACTATCTGTTCCCGAAGCATCGGCTGGAAAAGATGTGCGCGCATGTATGCACCTATGCAAAGACGAATCGGCCACATTCACGCCGTTTGTTTTTTGGTCCCGACTCTGCGGGGGAAGCTTGGCCGCGTTAGCCGCTGTTGGTCGTGTGCGCAAGACGCTTGCTGTTCGTCATTGCCCACTCATCAAGGTCTGCGGCCGCGCGTGAATCGTACCTTCTCTCGTGATCCTCGAGATCATCCCGTCGCGATGGGTTCACAAGAGCTTGTCGTACTGCACGACCCCACTCTGATGTGGCGCATTCTTCGGAATACTTCAAGCTCGAGCGGAATGTCCGTTCAAGTGAACGCGCCAAAAGGAGAAGACGGTGACCTGAAGCTTTGAAGATGAGCTGTGAGCATCACTCTACCATCGGAGCGGAGCACACGTATGCTTGCTACCGTGTTGCCCCACCCTACAAGGGACGATGATGACGTTACCGAGAAATGCTGACTACCGCAACTTCTCGAACAGAGAAATCCGTTTCGCGTTTCTGTGCATGCTTGACGTTGGCGGACTCCGACCATTGCGGGGCTCCAGCGAGCGGCCACGCAGAGCGGGCTATCTATCTACTACTGTAACAGACGTCGTTGCTGACGTCCGCGGGGTCCAAGAAGGGCCGACAGAAGATTAATCCGCATCCGCATCCGCATCCGTAACAGCGCGAACCAGCAAAAGGTCGGCAATCTCTGAAGTGGAGCTTGCCCATCGCGTACGTTTGCTGGGTCATACAGCACCAGCTGTCTCTGGGCAGTCGAATGGGAAAACGATCGTGGATCGAAGTTCGTGGACTCGTGACTGCATCTGCCGTCGAGCTGTCTGCTCGTCGTTGACGCCGTCAGCTGCGTCCACGAGGCCGTCGCGAGAGCATTTAGAGGTCTCACGATCGAGTGAGCTCAAATATTCTCCGCGCCGAATGCGGGCATGCAAGGCAGGTCTCACTATGATGGAAGGAGTCAAGCCCCTCACCACCGCGGGCCGCGAGACGCAACCGAATGCTCGCCGCGCGACGGTGCAGCAGTCGCGTCGAGGCACCACACAGTGAGTCGTGAGTCACGATCGACTCGTCGAACTCGAACCCACACATGCAGTCGCTGCCTGCCTGCTGCTGCTGCTGCTGCTGCTGCCCCAAGTCAAGCGGACGCTCTGCTCCTCGGAACAGACGGCTGCGATCTTGTACGTCAGCTTCAGGAGAATTGTCTAGCTATGTATGGCGGTTGCTGGCCTCGCTTACGTGTCGGTGTGAGTGGTGGAGCCTGAATCCAATGCAGGCTGATCGTGACTCACCCTCCAAAGCCCTGCCGCGTGGCGGGTGCGCCAGCCAGCTCAGCTAGACGCATCATGCCGACGAACGGAATCGTGAATCGTGAGTAATATATCCGGACGCGTCGCGATCGCGTGCACCATCAGCATATGTGCTCAATAAGCCATGCAGCAGCGCTTCATCAAACCCAACCAAACAGTCACCATGCATGCAGTCAAGAGTCAAAAAGCCGTAAAGCGAGTCTTAGGCTCTGCGCCAAGTCTGTTGCATCCCGCGCCCAGCGTGTCAACAACGCTTTGTGATTCAAGATTGAGTTGGCTACAAGATTCACGTGATTGTACAAATATACAAATGAATTCGATGAAGGCTGTCGCTATCCTGCGCTCAAAGAGCCTAAATATGCATGATGGATGGATGAGCGCTGCTGATGTCGTCAATCTTGAGAGCTCGTTTGTTCCGGCCGCGAGTTGTTCAGCTCAAGGCACTTTAACAGTCCGGACATGCAAATTGTAGTGAGATGCAGTCGCCACGGATGAGAGAGCGGTTGTACCGTCTGCGAGATCTCCTCTTTAGCTGCAGCTAGAAGCTTTGCGGTATAGGGTGGAGGCACTATAAGGCTGTCGATGAGTCTCTTGCCTGGCATCCTGCTTTGTCCGCACCCAATTCAGATTTTTGTTGAGCTGTGGCTGCGCGCCCAACTCAAGTTTGGCAACGGTCTTTGCAGGTAATGCGTTCTTTGTCTTTCCATATGACCGCGCTACTACTCGAGAACCAGGCAGGGATCGCGCCTCATCAACGTCTCGCACTCGACGGACATGAACGAGCGAGGCGACCGAAGGATGCGTGGTTATTGTGAATGCTTGCGGGTTTCAAACCGACGCGCGAAAGCCCCTGTCAGCTGTGCTGGGGCACCGCCTCGGCATAGCCACAAAGTCTGATCAAGTAGCCGTGGCCGAATCGAGAAGACACAGTCCGAGTGTAGAAGTGCGGAACTGAGCGCCCTCACAACAGACTCGGAAATGAGCTCGGAGATGGGGTGCGTCCTCATTCACGATTCGAGCTTCGCAGGCCGTGACAAACATCTGCACGATGAATGGTCATAGGCTTGAGATCAGAAAGGACCTGCGAAGCGTGCTTGCAGACGCATCATGGATGTTTTCAACGGTCGCGCGTCTGTTGTAGCACTCAACTGCGCGGTGTTTGGTGGAGAGGCACAGCGAGGACGAAGCCGTCAGCGGGGGAACACAGCTGTTCGTGCTTCGTGATCTACTAGCTTGCAAGTGCCTACCCGCCTCCCTCGTTCACAGTCGATGCAGAAATCGGTCATGCATGACGGCATGAACTCGTGACTATAATGCAGCACATGAGCAGCTCGGCGCTTCTACATCGAGCGCCACACAAACGCAGCTCCGGTTTCCGAATGCTGCAATTCAGGCGGAGATTTGGTCTTCTAGACTCGCTTTGACCCTTCGATTATAGATCTTTCCCGCCCTCAGAGCCTATGAGTAGTGCTCTCCGACGTCGACGTCAACATGCCGCTTCCCAGCATTGGACTACGGGGCGCTGATGGCTAGCATTCGTGATGCCAGTCTTCCCTTCCCCCAAGCGATTGTGATCATATCGTGAATGCTGTTGTGGATGATGCGGAAGCAAGTCACGGGTCCCGCGCGCATCGAGAGGCGCCTTTCACGCTCCATCATGAGGGCCCCTGCACGCGCGTGCCTCCTCATCGCGATTTTACCAGCAGCTTAATTGCAAGCGCCCGCGCTACATGAATCCGTGCACCCTCGTGAAACCGAGCAATCACAATGTCGCGGACTGAGCTTATGCAGAGAGAGGAGAGCAGGGGCTACTCGAACCTCGTATCAGCCTAGATTCTTTATCGTAGGCTCATCGTGCGGACTTTGGATGTGCATGACCTTTCTGTTTGTATAGCTCCCGCGGTTGAAGCGCAGCGCTCGATCGAATCAAGAATCGAGGGGCGCAAGCCGCTGCCCCTCCTTGCTATCCAGCCGGATCGAAACTCGAGCATTTACCGGGCTTCGGATTTCTGTCCGTGATGGGTGTAGCGCATCCTGCCAACATCATGGATTTGGTTAATTAGCAACAATCTCAACGTAAGACGCCTTTTCATTCATCACTATTCAACTCACGATTACCGGTATTCAGGTCACGATTACTCACGCCGTTGGGGCAGACAAAGACGGATGTCTCGGGATCCCTTTTGCAGCTTGGTGACCTCATGCAGAGCGAATGCGAGACCCTCTTTTCACGATCAAGCGCGTCGCGGGAGAGGCGGGATGAGCGGTGCGTGATTCTGCATGGCCCCGACAGCACCACTTGACATCAGAAGCAGATGGGGTGCTTGCCGCTCAGCAGAGAAAGGGTGCTGCCACGCAGCTGCTGCTGCTCGCAGGCCGGGCAGCATAGGACGCGCCCTTCATCGCTGCTGCTGTAACAGTGTGGCAGACCCATGCAGCTGTGACTTAATTGCTACAACTGCTGCTCCCTGATGTCGGTTGCCCCGCCCCTCGGTCGAGGCACGCCGCAACAACCCGTGCCCGGGCTGGCTTTGAAGCCGGCGTCAAAGCAGCAGCATGCATGCAGCGTACGTACGTGCAGCCATCAGTCGGGCTGCGCAATACAAGGACCACAAGGAAGGTTGCTCTTCAGGCTGGGGCTACACGACCGCCATGCGACGCCACCTTGACCTTCCCCGGCACTAGAGCAGCCGGCAAAGTGGCCTTGCTGCTGCAGCATCGTCGCGCTGAATTCTCTTAGCCTACCGTTACTGTCTGCTCACCTGACCGCTCTTTGTCGCGTACGACTCTACTTTCGGCTCACCTCTCCGGCCGCCGATCTGGCTGTTTTGGAAAGACGGAGACAAACGCTGAATCACAAGGTTTTGGGTGCCGCGTTGACTCGCATGAGGAAGAGGGAGAGTCACCCACCAAAGGCAGGTCCGCTCGCCTGCCCCTACGGAATTGCGCAGCTGACCACGGTACAGTCACAGTACAAACCACGCAGCTGATCGACCGCTCAATCTAAGATCTCACTTACGACTCGTCAAGTAAGCTCACGTACCCGATTCTATCTCTCACATCCATCTCATCCTCCTCACAATCCACGAAATAGCTTCGCGTCCGTCGAATTAAGCAACAACGTCGAAAGTCAGGCTCTCCGTCACAACAAGCTTAGACGATCTGCCGCCACAATCGACCTCAGCACGGACGCGTTGCCTTGTGACGGCGCCCCGAGCGCCCCTATAGCTGCTTTTCACGCGTAGGCCGTTCACCGCGAATCGCTGCGCACGCGTGCAAATCCCTGAAACAGTGCCTTGTGACCGCTTCGCATTACGCTGAACAACATTCACAGCATCCGCGACTGTCCACTGTATCGCAGAGGTGTTGGTCGGTAGGGCAGCAGTCACGGCATTAGCTGCGCCCCAAGCACAAGTTGAGCTGCTGCAACCCATCAGCGTCAGCTCTCACTTGCTCCCCCGATCCCTTCCAGCTCGTGGGTTGGGATCCTGCCTCGTTTGGCACTAACCCTTTGAGAGCCCCTCGCATCTCACACGTACCCCCCATCCTCAAGAAGACCACCTCCACTCGGCCATTCGGAACGATCTCGGTGCCCATAAACAAGTGGAGCGTTTTGCACCCCGGGTACCAATCAAAGCTACGCGCAGTGCACCGCGCATCGCGGCTTGGACTGCATTTCCAGCGACCAGCGAAGGCCTTGACGCCCCCATACACGGCACTTCAGCAAAGTCATCAGGGCAGTGGGGCCACGAGTCTCGATCGTGGCGGAGCGTGACACGAATCGAAACGTGCGTCGTGCGACGTCGATACCTCGCCAAAAGAAGGCCGAGACAGTACCACTTCAGTAGTGATACCGGCTAGACGCTCACATCTGGCGTCAGCATAGTCGTAATTTGACCCCACATCTGGCCTCATCACACTACATCGAGTCTCAGGCTCGCCGTTGCAGTAGGGCAATCAGTTCAGCGCAAGTCCTACAGTCACCACCGCTCAGCACCCGAGACCTGGCAAGATCTGGCTCTTGATAGGTGTCTCGGTGCTTTCGGGCGGTTGAAGTGCTCCAGAGCTTGGATCGACCTGCACAAATCGTGAATTGCCAAACGGACCCAGCTCATCAGCACCTCACCTGATCCAGCAACGCGAGTCTGCTGCTGGATGCTGTGACGCTCGCATAGCCTTCTAGCCGAGGCGCCTCGCAAGTCTTCATACAGCGCCGCACCCCTGCTGGCTGGTGTGCGTTGCTCGTCGCAGTCACAACTCGCGCACTCTTCATCTTTGCACCCCAATCCAGCAAGAGATATATAAAGTAGCGGCCCGCCCGTTGCACACTGCACCAGGCGTGCCTGATACATGCGCAGCACTGTGATCGCATATTCGCTACACGCCTTCAACGCCGCGCGGGCTCTCGCAGATCGCCGCCTCAGCCTGTCGGACAACCCGTCTGGCGTGCCGTCAGCATAGAAGCACTTTTGACTGCAAGACGTCATCGAAGTGCTTGTATAAGACTATCTCGTCGCCAGTCTCCCGCCATCAAGACGCTGCAACATGCCCTCCATTCAACCAACGAGGCGTTCGCCGCCACCTGTACTGGCGAGCAGCAGTGGTCTGACCTCATCGTCGCCAGTGCCTCTACCTCAACCACCTTCACAGCAACAGCACCAAGTAGGTGGCAGACAAGCAACACGGTCGCGCACAAGAACGAGGCAGATGGGATCAACGATCAGCACATCGATGAGCGGCCCGTCAGGGTCGCGCCAAAGGTACAGCAGCGAAGATCACCCCCTCAGTCCCCACAAACTCGCCATGAAAGGTTACCACTCCTTTGTCTGCTTAGGTGTGCCTTTTCACGTACACAGGAGGTATACATTCCTCCGAGAGTTGGGCATCGGCGCTTATGGATGCGTAGCTCTCGCACGCGACAGCGTGCTCGACTGCGATGTTGCGTGAGTTGTTGCTGCATGATTTGCACCGGTGCAATGGCATGCTGACCCCTACGTCCGCTGGATACGCCCTGCAATCTCTACAGGATAAAGAAGGTTACGCGGGTGTTCGAGCGAGACGTCTTGGCAAGGCGCGCGCTACGGGAAGTAGCAGTGCTTCGACACATTGGCATGTGCGGCAACGTCACGGCGCTTTTGGACTTTGACACCAGCTTCATCGAATTCAACGAGATTTATCTGGTCATGGAGGCTAGCGAAGCCGATTTGAGGTGAGTGTCTGTTCTCCATACACCCGTCGCGGACATTCGAGTCTGATGCTTTTGGCCAACATCAACGCAGCCAAATCATTCGGTCGGGCCAAACCTTGTCAGACTCGCACCTACAATACTTTCTTGCTCAACTTCTCCGCGGCGTGCGGTATATGCACGCAGCAAACGTTATCCATCGCGATTTGAAGCCCGGCAATCTGTTAGTCAATGCCGACTGCCAATTGAAGATTTGCGACTTTGGCTTGGCACGAGCTCATGCCGAGCGGCCGGAACGAAGGTCGCGATCTCGTTCGTACAGCACCAGCGTAGAACGTCAGCCTCGAGGCGACCGGGGCAAGCCAGGCACCCCACCCACTCAGGATGGTGCTGCTGTGCCAGCTTCTGAAGTTTCATCTTCATCCGATGACAGCCAGTCCAAATCTCTCTCGCCGATGAAGAGCCCACCGGATGCTGGGCTAGCGCAGGCTCCTGCGGTGGACACCACCAGGCGGTCAGGCAGAAGTCGGTCCACCAGGCTGTATTTTCCGGGAGGGCCATTGACAGAGTACGTTGCAACGCGGTGGTACCGCGCTCCAGAGGTCATGCTGTGCTTCCGGCGGGGTTATGGCGCCGAGATTGATGTATGGAGCATTGGCTGCATCTTAGCGGAGCTCATTGCGGGCAAGCCGCTGTTTGCGGGCAAAGACTACGTCGACCAAATTGCCCGCATCAACAATGTCTTGGGCACGCCAACAGAGGCGACGATCGCCAAAATTGGAAGTCAGCGTGCGAAAACCTACGTGCAGTCGCTGCCGAAGATGCCAAAGGTCCCTTTCAGCAGCCTTTTGCCCAAGGCAACGCCTTTGGCTCTGGATCTACTTGACCGGATGCTAACCTGGGATCCGGACGAGAGGATTTCAGCAGACGAAGCGCTCAGACACCCATGGCTGGCAGCTTACCATCAATCCAATGCAGCATGGACACCTCCAGAGCCTTATTCGCGCTTCGATGAAGTCGAAGCTATCTCCACGATCACGGAATTCAGACTCGGGCTTGAACGCGAAGCTGAGGAGATGCGCGCGGAATTGCTCGCTCTTGAAGCCGAGGAGCAACGTGAAGAACAGGAGAGGCTTCTCGCCGAGGCAGATGGGGCAACGAGCACAAATCACGGCGATGACGGGCCACAGCCGGGCTCTCAATACCAGACGCAAAGCGGTGCTTCCCGAGCTGAGGACTCGGACTTGACCGGCTCTGCCCAATCCGCTTCTCTTAGAGCGTCGACCGAAGCTCCTTCGCCATTGCACACTCCGTCGTCAGTGGACAGCTTGGACGCTTACGAGACCGATCCTACATCCGCTAGCGCTCCTCAGAGCATCAATGGCTCCACGTATGCACCAAGCGCAGGTACGCCTCATTTAGGCTTCAAGAAGACCAGCAATCATGTGAGCAGCCACAGCAACGAGAGTGGACGCGGCGACTTTGTGGGTGAAGTACGATTACGCATGCAGGAGCTCGACGAGAGCTTGGCATCCCACGCCTTGCTCAAGAAGCCTGCACTTGGTGGTGCAGAGCTCAATCACGAAACCTACCGTCGAAGAGCCATCTCCAACGCAGCTTGCATTCCACGATTTGCACTCAGAAGAGTTGCGAGCAGCAGAGACGACAACGACGCAAGCCAGGATGGCCAGGTTCTGAACGTGCAGTATCTCGTTCCTTCGGGCGCCCTATCACGGGTGCCGCCGCCTTCTTTCATCAAGCATACGACGGACATCATCTCGCGATCCAAGTGGCAGCGAGAGTGTGTAACACCACCGCTCGGCAGCAGCAACGAGCTCGTGAGGAGCGTTGATGAGCAATGGCAGGAGCACAGGCTTCGCTGGGCCGCTGCAGAGGCAAGCATGCTGAGTCAGCGTCCGAAAGGCAAGACTCTAGTGCGCCCAAACAGCAGCGATGGAAGTAGCGAAGGTGGACATGCACCCTTTCCCAGCAGCGCTAGCCCTCGCGCCTCGGTCTTGGACGCTAGCATGATGCTCGAAAGGTCGCGCTCTGACAGCGATAGCCAGAGTCGCGAAGGCAGCGATTCGACCATTGGTCAGCGGGGTGGTCGATCGCCAAGCACCCTGCAAGCTTCTCCTATTCCAGCATAATTGGTCGAGCGACGCGTGTCTGCCTGCCATCAGCTCCTTCATGTCCCATCCCACAACCACACATCACGCATGTACTACCCCGACTCGTAGCCGAACTGTATCTAGTCACCGTAATCGGCCCTCAATCTTTAGGCCTTTTCAAAAGCATCAAGAGATCCCAGCTCCTTGACTGTTGGGAGCGACGACGTCGAGCTGCACGCAAGCTGACCAGTGACACTCTGCGACCTCATCTGCTGCCTTCGTTCCGGCGCACTTGTGATGACCCATGACCCATACAGACGCTGGCTCGGCATGCAGAGAAGCGGGAGGTCAGGCTGCTGATTAGGCGACACGCACAAGCCCTGCATGTGACCTCCACATTCCGCCGCGAGAGCTGGCTCGAAACGCGCGATGGCGGCGCAGGACGTTGGGCCTGATGCTGCGTCAGCAACTTCCCCGGCGGTCCCAATGGGCTTACCATCCATTTCCCCACGCCCACCCTCCGCCGCGGCAACTCAGCCAAGCTTCAACACAGATCTTTGCTGAGCTATATAGTAGTCTCGCAAGCTGCCTCGTCACCCTGGGAGTCCGTATCACAATTCGCGGCCACCCACGAAGCACACTCAACGGGCGAAGATGGCTTCGGCAGCAGCAGCACCTGTTGCGGATCCAAGATGGAAGACGCTGATCGCAAAGAGCATAGCTGAGAACATCAAGAACGATGGCTCTGTGTGTGAGTATCGAAGCTTGATGTGATTTTGCGCTTGCGAGACGGCTCGCTGAACCTCCCATTCTTCTGGGGGGGCGGGGGGGGGGGGGGGAGCAGTGTACTACGCACTTTCGAGCGTGATCCCAGGTTCCCCACCTACTCCTCAAGTCCGATACGTCGTTCACCGTGGCTTTGTGAACGAGAAGAGAGCAGATACGCCAGAGGGTGTAGAGCCGGCGCTGGATGGGTTTGCCTGTGGAACGGCGCTTTTAACCACGACGGACGTTAGGGCTCCCAAAGCGCAACAGATTCGGGACAGCATAGAAAGGACGGGA